CAGCAGCTCTGAGATGCACGAACTCTTCCCAGACTTCGCCGTCCTGGCAGCTATTGCGCTGGCCTTGCCGCTGGGCTCGGTCCTTGCCGAGAAGATCAGCCGGGGCCGGGAGCTGCTGAAGCGCGGCCGGTCGCGCCCTGCCAAGGACGAGGCGCTCTCTGACCTCATGAAGATCGCCCTCGACGGGCCGGCCATCAGCGAGTTCAACTTTGCCTTGGCCATCGAGTACTACGAGAGCATGAGGGAGTCTGGGTTCATCGTGGCGCAGGTGAAGTGAGCGTGGCTGGTGGCAGGAGCCGGGGCCTGCGGGCAGCCCCCAGGGTGAGCTCAGCGCTGCCTTTCCACATCACTGGTCACTGCTGGGCAGCTGCAGTGGATGGTGACCTTTCTGTGCTGGGAAGAGAAACAGGATCCTTTGCAAAGCCATGCTGGTCCCATTACCACCCCTCCCTCATGCCCCAAACCTCTGTTTGAATCGCCCAGAATTCAGAATCCTGGGGCCACCTGAGATCCCAAATTGCCGTGAGTTTTTTTCCAAGGGTTTGTCATCATTTTGTTTTAGGGAGATGAAGGCAAAGCTCTTCGGCTCAAATGTCACGTTGCCTTTGCACAAAGATACCCAGCAGCTTTTGCTTAATGCTCTGCAGAAATATGGGATTTGTGTTGTTCTGGAGCCTGGAGAGGGAATGCAGAAAAGGCAGCGCATCCTCCGAGCTCTGCGCCGACCCCAACGTGCCTGGCGGTGTCGTGTTGGTGTTCCTTGCACACAGCACCAGGGTATTTTTAGCAGTGGCATCAAGTCATGATCATTTGAAGAGCAAGAGATTTAGGGAGTGATATTGTAATGGCTGAGGAAATATTAACTTTAAATGTATCATTGTGTACATATGTGTATGTGTGTATATATATAAATATACATATATAAATATCTATATTAAAAAGGTCTATCTTAATTTTCCTAAAGTTTAAAGTATAAAGATATCTAAAAGGACTTTTTTTTTTTTTTTTTGCAAGGACAGAATAAATTATGAGCAGGGGTCCAATAGCAATCAATAGCTAATTCTTGTTCTTTCCAAAACGTCCTCACATCCCCGAGTTCCCTTTGCACCCTGAGCTCTTGGCAACCTGCAGTCTGGGAGAAAGTCCTTCAACACCTGCTTTTGGGGCCAGCTGGGGGTGTTCAGCTCATATTTCTGCTCTGCAGTGTTACTCTCTGTCCCAAGGTGAGCAGAGCTGTTGGTGCCTGCAGCAGCCTGGAGCTCGGGCCCCTCTGCCCGCAGGGCTGGGGTGCTGCTGGTGTGTTCCAGTGTGATGGGGCTTTGCTGGTTTTCACTGGGAGGGCTGTTTCCTTCACTTCAGACTGATTCTGATCAGCAATAAACCCAGTGCAGCAGCATGAAGCATTATCTCAGTTGAATCCTGAGCGCCAGGTCCTCTGCTGAGGCTGCCAAAAGCTGGGAATGGGAGGATGTAGCAGATCTGCTGCCCCACGCTCCAGGTCTGGTTGCTCTGGGAGTCCAGTGCAGTGCAATCTGTTTGTTACTAATGCAGATCCCAGAGGTGCTGGGGCTGCACTGGCGCTGCCATCATGGTCCAGCGTTGTGACTGGGGGTGGCTGTTCTTCTCTGGCCATCAGCCTTTGGCACTGGGAAGCCTCCTGGAAACATGCTTGGCCAGAGACAAAACCTTTAAATCCCTGGGTGAGGATTTAGAGACACCATCAAAATTTGCTGAGAACATCTCCCAAGCAGGAGGGAGCCTCTGTGTGAATAAACAGCTCCAGCTCCATCTGGCCTGGGCAGACTCTGCACCAGATGCTCGCTGAGGCGGCGGCGTCTGCGGGGATGGGTCCTTGGCAGGCTCGTGTTGGTATGAGAACCTGCAGCCTTCAGAAGCAGCTCTGGGAGGTTCACACAGGCAGGTGACAGAGCACAACAGTTGCTCTGCTCTGCCTCAGAGGGAGCAGGAGAAAAACCTGCTGCAGGTGTGTGTTCAGTGGCTGTGTAGGGTGAAGGGGTGGGGACAGGCTGGGGGGGACAGGCAGACACAGTTTGGGTGAGTTTGGTTAAATGTAGGGCTGAAAATTCCTTTAAATTGTGAGGGATCCCTACAAAAGTCACTTGTGTGTGGGACAGGAACTGGGCTGAGCTCCAGAGGGCTGAGCCCCAAGCAGGGGACACGCAGCACCACATCAGGGACATCGTGGCTTTGACACCTCTTGGTCAGGCCTGGGCTGTGCCTGTGCAACTGGGGGGGCACAGAGACAACCCCCCCAAACTGCAGCAGGTGCTCACACGTGGTTCCTGTGCTCCTCTCCTTGCAGCAGCCCCTTGGAATGCTCTGCAGGAGCACATCCTGTCCCAGGAGGACCCGCAGTGCCAGAGCAGCAGCATTTCGTGGAGGTGGGGGCTCTGCCAAAACGGGGGGCGACAGAGCAGGGGCTGTGACAAAAAGCTGAACCACTGGGGGCCTCTTCACCCACCTGCTGCTGGCCATGCCTGTCACCTTGCCTAAGGTCGTGTCATTCTATACAGACCTGGGACCCTGCCACTCGCCCAAAAGCAAATCTCTGTAATTGAGTGTCTAATTAATACCTAAAAATACTGCCCTCAGCTGCTGCTGGAATCTGCCCTGCAGCAAAGGTAAGGCAGGACCCACAATGCCATAGCCCTGTAACCTTGGAAAGGTGCCTCAAGAGCATCCTGTGGGTGCCCCAGCAGGGTGTTGTGACATGCTGGGGTGGCCTCAGCCCTCTCCCTGCTCCTTAGGGTCCTGTCTGCTTCAGGAGCAAAGCCAAGTGAGAAAAAAACCTGCCCATCTGCAGGGTCTCACAGGGGCTTCTGAGCTCTCTATAACTGCTTGGTTTATCCCAGTCCAGAATGTGTTTAATCCACAAATTTGAGCTCAAGGGTGTGCCAAAGAGGTTGACATATCTTCTCAGCACCATTGGTGGGCAGCAGCTGCTGCAGGTAGTGGCCGATCCTGGGAGTCTGTGTCCCCTCAGCACTCGTCCTGTGCCTGCCCAGTGCAGGAGCTGCTCCCCAGGGAGAGAATCCTTCAGCCCGAGCATTAGCTGAGCTGCAGCATCCCTTCTTGTAGTCACTGATTCTGGGGATGAGGTGATCGCTCACCTCCTGTTCCTCCCATATATATATGTATATTATATATATATATATACATATGTGTGTGTGTGTGTATGTATATTATATATATATATGTATATTTTAAATATATCTATTATTTTATACATAAAATATATTAAATACATAAATACGAAAATGTGTGGATATAGATATATAGATATATAGATTTATAGATATATATAGATTAGATATAGATATGGATATGGATATAGATATAGGTATATGTGTGTGTGTGTATATCTATATTTTATGTTTTTAAGGCCAGTGCAGTCCATGCAAACCACCCTGGCTGTGATGAGTTGCACCCCTCACGATCCAGCCCCAAATGCCTCTGCTGCTGTCGCGTGGGGCCCCGGCTGTGTGTGCTGGGGGGTCTCAGGGCAGCTCCTCCGGCGCCAGCCCGGCCGCCTCAAATGATTTGATGTAGAAACGCTGTTTCACGCCTCAGAAGGTTAATTATGCACCCCTCACCCAGTGCTGCTCGCTGCTGCTGCTGCGACGTTATTTATTTATTTTTAAGCGGTTTCGCAGATTTCCCTTCTGGGCGACTCTGGAATTAACTCGATCAGCGCACGCCTGATGAAGCAAACTGTAATTCCTCCCCGGAGTCAGGCCTGGCTCGGGGATGGCTCCGGCGCCGTGGCAGAGCCTCCGCGTGCGCTCGCCCAGAAAGAGGTCGTTGGTGCCCGTGGGGCTGGCGACGAGCGCTGGCTGCTCAAATCCAGGGAATCTCTGGAACTTTGAATTTCAGATGCGTGTCTCAGGTCCTGCACCAGCTGGGATTGGCATGGGGTGGGCGCAGAGCAGAGTGAGGAGCAGCACCAGCCTGGTTCTGCATGGCTGGCGCCAGGGTGTGGGGCTGGAGGGGGTCTCAGGCTCGGTGCTGTCACAGGAGCTGCTGGTGGAGACTTTTGCTGCTGTGGGAGTGGGTGCTGGCCAGTCAGCCTCCCACAAGGGGATTCATCATGGTGGGATGGGGTTGTGCTGTGCTGGGTCAAGGGATCCAGGATGCCTTTGAGGGGGAAAAGAGCCCAAACCTCAAAAAAAATCCAAAGGAATGAGGAACCTTGTCCTTGCTGCAGGAAAAGGGACGGGGCTGTGGGTGGGTTGGAGGGGGTGTGAAGCCATGTGGGATGTGAATGGGCTCTTCTGGCTCACAGCACTCTGAAACCATTTCTTATTTATTGTGTTTGATTAGTTAATTTTTTAAATTTTATCTTTCTCCTCTCCTCGCTCTCAGAGCTGGGCAGGGACTCCCTCTGCCACCTGGAGGATGCTTCCCTGTGCTCATCATCTGTGATGAGCACGAGCTGGGATGGGGAGCAGACTGGAGACAGATCTCTGCTTGGCCTCCCTTCCTTCCTTCCTTCCCTCTATCCCACGGGTGTTTTCTGTTGAAACAGAACATTATTAATAACTCCAGGCTATTTTTAAATCTCACGCTGGAGCGCGTGGTTCATTTGCGGGGGACGGGGAGTGGCGGCTGTGCCGCAGGAGTGGGGGCAGCTCTGCCTCTGCCCCCAGCCCTTTGGCAGCCAAAACCTCACCAGCCCTGGTGGTGCTGGTGTGGAGGAGCCCAGGGAAGGGGCTGCTTCCCTGGTGGAGGTTGGGACACTTTTTGAGGCTTTGGACTCCTGTGCGTGTCCACGCTGGGATGCGGAGGCGTCCGGAATTGGGGTGCTGGTTTGGAGCCTGGAAGGCAAAGGGGTGCCCAGGGCCACCCTGGGCTGGAGCCTCTCCCTGGAGGGGTTCTGTAGTCCGTGGCAGATGTCCCCGTGTGCCGTGTCTGGTGTGCTCTGTCCTGCTGCCAGCAGGGATCAGCAGTGCTAACGCTGCTCTCTCCCTCTGCCTGCCCAGGTCCCTCCGGACACAGCAGCCCCCTCTTAGCGTCGTTGCCCATCCCTGGCCGGCCTCTTCATCCTCCCTTGGACATCAAGCACTTTCTGACCTTCAGGCTCAACGGGACATCACCGCTCAACCTCTTCCCCAACTTCAACACGGTGAGTCCCCAGGGAGGATGGGCATGGACTGCTGGATCCCTCCTCTCCTACAGCAGTCCCTTCTCTGCATGGCACCACTCCTTGAAGCCTACCAGGCAGCTTGTGGTTTAATTCCTGGGGTCTTTGGCTGCTGGATGCCAGTTCAACATGCCCACTTTGCCCTTAGCTTGGAGAGGTTCCTGCCCAGCCAGTGCCTGTCAGTAGCAGAATTAAAAACATGGTTCATTTTAACCCAGATCAATTGGATTTTGCCCCTGGAATCAATAGTAATAAAGTAGCTCTGGAGAGCAGTTCATTAGTAGAAAATTAAATAAGGAAAAGAAAAGAGAATGTACTACAGATACGAGGAATGTGGCTGGTGCTGTGGATGTTGGGAGAGTGCTGGGGGCCTGCTCCCACCCCCCACTTGGGCTCCAGGTCCCCAACTTTGGTCCACCAACCCAGGTGTCTGGGGTGGGCAATGACACACATCTTTAGAGATGTTCCATTAGACAGTTAAACTGCCATGGATGTGACCAAGGACACAGAGAAAACCAAGGAAATGGTTTTCTCCCCATGCTGGACTGCTCCCCCAGGCTGCTCCCAGCCCTGTGGGGGTCTCTGCAACCCCTGGGTGCTGCCTGGAATTGTTGTGGAGCAGGTTCTGCTCTGGGTAAGGCTCCCCAGCTCTGCCCCAGAGGCACTGCGTGCTGGTGTTTTAGGGTTCATCAATGCCCGTTGTTTTCTCTCATGAACCTGGAAATAGGACTGTCCTGAGCCCCCTCCCTGCTCACTGGCCTTTTGTGAGTGGCTTTGAACTTAAATGTGCTTGGAAAGTGCAAATTGTCGCTGAGATCCTCAAAGACAGTTCAGAAATTAAGTGCAGGATTCCTGTTGCTGTTGAATGGGATTCAGGCTCTGAGTCCTTTAAGCTCTTTTGAAGCCACAGCCCAGCCTCTCCCCGGGCTAATGAGCTGGAACACAGGACAGGAGGGGTTTTGATGCCATTAAAGTTCCTGCTTTTTGTCTGGACTCTTTTTTTAGTCGCTGGAGTCAGGAGTGAACTTGACCCAACGCCTGTTGTCCTCTCCTCTTGGCTCCCACCTGCCGCTGCCTCAGCGCCTGCTCACCCACGGTTGTTGCTTTAAAAAAATCAGTAATTTGGAAAATGAATCTGGTACTTGCTGGAGCCACGCAGTGTCACATGGCTGCTGTGCTCCATGTGGGCTCCTGCTGCAGAGGATGGGTCAGACACAGACAGAGATGCCACGGGAGGCTGTCCCAGCCATGTGGGGACCTGGAGTCAAGCACTCTGAGCCCAGGCCTGAGCCTGGTGTGTGCTGCTGGCTGATGGTCCAGGGGCAGGAGCTGCCCTTTGGGGTGTGTCTGTGCTGGAGATGTGGCTACAGGAGGCTGGGTGAGATGCAGGCTGGTGGCTCTGGAGGAGCCAGAGCAGAGCTTCCCTCCCACAGGATGAAGGGCTGGGGCATCCCTGCAGCCTGAGTTGCTCTGGCAGCTCTGGAGGAGCCAGAGCAGAGCTTCCCTGCCTCAGGATGAAGGGCTGGGACATCCCTGCATCCTGAGCCAGGCTTTTCAGGCTCCACTTGAGCCTCAGTGTGGGGAGAGGGATGGAAGCAGCAGTCAGGGTCTGCCCTTTGCTGAGGTCACTGCCACATTGGAGCTGCTCTGCAGCAGGATCTCAGGTTCTCCTTTTGTGCCCTGCATGGCTGGTGATGCTGTGAGGGCTCAGCCATGCCCTGCAGAGCAGGAGCTGTTTGCTCTGCCCAGCAGAACACTTTGCACTCCGAGCAGGTCACAGGGCTCCCATGAACCCAGCAGATGTTTTACTCCAGAGCCAACAAAACCTTTCCAAGCTGCCTCCTGACACTTAGAGCAACAACCAGGGGAAAAAACCCCTGACAGCACTGGAGGCACGTTCCTTGCTCCAAAGGCCCTTCCCTTAGCTTGGGATGTTGCAAATCCCCAGGACCCAGCAGCGCCTCGTAAAACTCAGTCAGCAGACACGATCTGGAGGGATGCAGCATCCCTGTGAATTCCTGCCCTGACCCCAGTGGCCGCAGGGAGCTCGGCACAGGGATGGCTATTTATATCAGCAGGAACATCCAGGGATAAATAAAGTAATGTGAGTCAATAGGAATTGACTATAAAGCCGGGATCTTTATTCCCCAAGACTGAGGTGCCCAAAGCCACCTCTGTTGCTGGCTCCATTCTTTCGGAAACCACCAGGAAGAGCCTCAATCCCTGGCTGCAGGCACTGGTAGGTGGCCCCATGGGAGCTGGGGGGGCTTTTCCATGTCTGAGAGAGCTGCGAGGGCATGCAGCAGGGAGGGATAGAGGCATGTTTGTGTTTGGTTTTGGGGAGAAGCACGAGGGCTCTCAGGTGGCAGCAGCCTTCAGATATGCTTAGTGTGGGCTGGAGCTGGGCTGGGCTTCTGGCAAAGCACCTGGGACCATGTGTGCTCCCGTGGGGGTGGGCAGCTTGAGACTGTGCTTGTGTTCCCTTTGGGACAGCAGGAGCAGCAATGGCCACCACGTGCCTTGGCTGGGATGCCTGGGGCTGGGGTGAGCAGCCAGGTCTGAGTGTGCTGAACAGCCCAGCCCCTGGGAGCCCCTGAGTCCTGTGCCTGCCAGGGCAGTAGCAGGTGCTGTGGTGCACACAACTCCTTGCTGTGCCACAGGGTGGAGCAGGGTGGACTTGGCAAAAGAACAGGGGGTGGAAAGATCCAGGTTGGTGCTATCACCCTGGCACAACCCCAGGAGAATGAGGATACCCTGTGCTGGGGCTGTTCAGCACCACCACCGTGTAGTTGAGGCTCAGGCATGGCCCTGCTGCCACTGGCTTCACTGGCAGGTTTTGGATGAGACCAGGACAGTCCCTGGTCTCATTTGTGTCCTTGTGCCAGCATCTCCCTTTCCTCTGCATCTTCCTCTGATCCTCACCCTGCTCAGGGTGTGGATGAGCCCATGGGAGCTGCTTGGTGGGTGCCAGTGTTGTTTGGTGGCAGCAACCAGCTGGAACCTGGTGGCTGACACTGCTGGGAAGGTTGGAGCCATTTTTCTTTTCTGAATGGAAAGGTGGGTGTTTGGAAAACAAGTACTGGCCCAGCAGCCCAGCACACAGCAATGTTTGTTGTCAGGCCTGGAGCAGCATCTTGGCCATCTGTAGCTTCCTCCAGGTCTCTGCCGAACCCCAAATGCCTCTTCATTTATATGCCAGATAAGTGAGTAAAATTTCGTAGCAAACAGGCACTTCATTAATCACCTGCTTTTACCATTCTGCTCACTCCTGGAAAGGAATTTGGGGTCTTGATAATGGTGCTGTTGTCCAGGCATGTGCCTCGAAGACTGATGCACCTGTCTCGGCAGTGAAATAGCTTTGCAGAGAAATACGATCGCTGCAAACCCCGGGCTCTCCTGACAGCAGGACTCAGATAAGATAATCTCCCTGTGCCACAGGCTAGGGAACAATACTTGCATTATAGATTGGAGCCACGCTCAGACAAAGAGGTTATTCTTATGTTTTCTTCCTTAATAAATGCATTTTGTTAAAAACAATTATGGCTTTTGGAAGCAGTTTGGTGCTTGGGCTGTGGAATGAGGCCGAGCCCCGAGGCGAGACAGAAGGGCCAGGGCCTGGCACTGGCCACATGCTTGGCCCCACCACAGCCCTGGGCAGGCTGGAGGACAGACATGGCTCCTGGCAGGACACTGAAGTGGTTCTGTGTGTGCCCAGCCTGGTGACCGAGCTGTCATTGTTGGGTGTGAGAGGGTGAAAAGCACGTTGGGCAGCAGTGGGGCAGCCCAGAGGGGTTTTGTGGGCACTGTGTCTTGGGTGAGCTGTGTCTGTGGCAGCCAGCACTGCTGTCCCTCCTGCCCTGGCACCCATGTGGGCTGTCAGTGTCCTAGGGGCTGGCACACATGGCCCTGTTCATGCCTTTGGCATTGCATGGGGACGTCCCAACTCTCTGGTGAGGAGCACATGGAGAATGAATGGTCAGATGCTTGTTTTGGCCACCTCAGTCCCCCATTTTTGTGGTTTCTGCTCCTGCTGAGGTCAAGGGCAGCCAGTGAGGTTCAAACAGAAACTGGTAAGTTGCCACCTGTGACACAAATGTCCTTGTGGGGGGAGAGGGGACTTGGGCACACACAGGTCTCATCCCTTCTGCCAGACCACAGCTGACATTCACACCTGGTGGATCTGATGGATTCAGGCACGGTTTAAGCAGGACAGGAGCCAGTGTTGACACAGCACATTGCCCTGTGCAGGGGAGCCTCCATGGCCACAGGGCTCCTCAGCAGATGCAGCCCCTTGCTCCTTGCAGCCCCCCCGTGAGCTCTGCGGCACTGGCAGCGGCTCCTTGGGAGTGTGACAGGCATGAGGGTCACCAGATCACGGTGCCACGCTGGGGCAGCCGTCAGCACTCAGCACCAGCCCTCCCTCCCCTTGCAGATGGACCCGGTGCAGAAGGCAGTGATCAGCCACACCTTCGGCGTGCCAGCCCCGCTCAAGAAGAAGCAGTTCATCTCCTGCAACATCTGCCACCTGCGCTTCAACTCTGCCGTAAGTGGGGCCACACGTGGGGCTGGGAGTGAGGAGGGGGCACAGGGCCAGCCCCTGTCAGGGGTGTCCCCAGCGATGGGTCAGTCTCATCCACGCGGGCTGTGGGCTGCTGGAGCTGCTCTTGCTTACAGAGGAGCCATCCCAGCCTGGCCACGCTGGATCTGCAGTGTCTGGGGCTGCTGCTGGCTCTGCCAGCAAAAAAACCCTGGTTCTGGGCTTTGTGATTCCACTCCGTGGCCAAACAGCTCAGAAAAAGCATTGCTTCCTTCATTGCTCATTGCTTCCCTGTTTCAGGCTGCTTCCCAGCTAGAGGTGCTGTGCCAGGAGGGTCAGTCCCACAGCGTGCCCCCACAAGCACCCTGTGCCCCTGTTCCTGCTCTGCCCGTGTCCCTCCAGGTCCCCCCTGGCTGGCCCAGACCCTCACAGCCCGTGGGTGTTCCAGCACGGAGGCTGTGACCTACTTTGGCTGCACCCAGCCCCGTTCCAGCCCTGTTATCCAGGGGGAGTTTATTGTCTTTGCTAATGAGGCACCACGCTTGGACTCGCCCTCTGCTTTCCCACGTACCAGCCACAGCCCCAGCCCCCGTTCCCAGCCCTTGGAAAGCCACAGGGGGAGGGAAGGGAAGGGATGGGCTAGGATGCTTCCCCCTGCTGAGCCCGGGAATCCTCAGCTGGCCCCCAGGAATGCTGTGCAAATTAATCTGTCCTACTCAGGGGTACAGTGTCTAATTCATACTGGGGTTCCACTCCATAAATTGCCAAACCGGGGTTGTTTTGGGGGACAATGCAGCATTGTCCCTGCTGGGAGGACACCAGTGTTCAGGGGAGTTATTTTTGTGGCCATTTTTATCAGTTTGGTGCAGACACGAATCCATCAGAGTCACGCTTCATTATCCAGCGTTCACTGAGAGAGAGGAGCTGGGGACATGAACCATGTGTTGAACACCCTTTAGGATACAGTGGGTGATGTGTCCTCCCCACCAAAAAACCTCTTTATTTCATTTTTACAGCAACAATTCATTGTACGTTTCTGGAGTCATAAGTTTTGCCTGAAAGCTGCTTTTAGGAGTGACTTGATGCATTTAATCAGAGCGGGGTCCTTATCTCGCCAAGCAAGCAATGTGGGGATGTCTTAGAGAGTGATACCTTGGCCTCAACATGTTGGTGTCAGAGCACGCTGGGGAGAGGAGGGAAATGACTCTGTGAAACCCCTCTGTGCTACACCCACTGCTAAAATCCCTCTGTGCTACACCCCAGTGCTAAAACCCCTTTGTGCTACACCTCATTCCCATCACCCACCCTGTGCTACACCCCAGTGCCAACACCCCTCTGTGCGACACCCCAGTCCTGACACCCCCTTTCTGCTACACCTCATTCCCAACACCCCTCTGTGCTACACCCTACTGCCAAAACCCCACCTGTGCTACATCTGCCTCCCTGTGCTACACCCCAGTGCTAAAATCCCTCTGTGCTACACCTCACTGCTAAATCCCTCTGTGCTACACCCCACTCCCAACACCTCCTCTCTGCTACACCTCACTCCCAACACCCCTCTGTGCTACACCCCACTGCCAAAACCCCCCCCGTGCTACATCTGCCTCTCTGTGCTACACCCCAGTGCTAAAACCCCTCTGTGCTACACCTCACTGCCAAAATCCTTCTGTGCTACCTCTGTCTCTCTGTGCTACACCCCACTGCCAAAATCCTTCTGTGCTACACCCCACTGCCAAAACCCCTCAGTGCTGTGTCTGCCTCTCTGTGCTACACCCCACTGCCAAAAACCCCCCTGTGCTACCTCTGTCTCTCTGTGCTACACCCCACTGCCACCACCCCTTTGCAGTGGTCCTACCCTGGGGGTGCGTGCCACCAGGTAAGGTGGCTGCACTAGGAACCTGCCTGAGTGGCCACATCCTGGGTGTGAGCCCATCCCCTGCCCATGTCCGTCTGTCTGTCTGTCACAGCAGTGACCTGGCCATCCCTCTCTCCCCCCAGAACCAGGCTGAAGCCCACTACAAGGGCCACAAGCACGCGCGGAGGCTGAAGGCCATCGAGGCCATGAAGAACAAGCAGAAGGTGGTGGGGGCTGCAGCAGGGACCCCTGGCCAGGACAGCACGGCCGACCTGGCCCCCAGCCCTGTGGGCAGTGGGGAGCTGGGCAGCACAGGTACGAGGAGGGGGTGTGGGGCTGAGGCTGTGGCAGAGGTGCCACCTGAGCTCCTGTGGGGGAACAGGGGTTGTTTTCCCTGTGATTTGATGTCTCTGGGAGGAAGCTCTGTCCCACACATCCCCAGGGCTCTGCCACATGCAGGGATGGGGCTGGTGGGAGCTGTGGCAGCAGCAGGGTTTGGTGCTGAGCCCAGCTTCCCTGCACTACAGATAACAGCTGTAATGGGAAAGACCTGGGGATGCATGCAGACGCTGTCTGGGATGGTCTTGGGGAAGATGGGGGTGCTCCCTGAAATCCAGAAAACCTGTTCAGGCACAGGAGAACTTTCTCTTTCTGCCCACTTCTTTTCCTCTTTCCCCTTTTCCTTCTCCTCCCACCAGCTGATGCCAGTAGCCCACAGGAGTCGGAGGGTGAGGGCAGCAGCCTGGGGCTGGTGCCCAGCACTGAGGAGTCACCTGTGGAGCTGCCAGGCACTGTTGCCCCGCTGGGCTCCCCGCCGGCCTCCGAGCTGTCAGAGGGCACCTCAGATGCCACCAGCGTGGCCTCCTCGTCCGCCCAGGCAGCTGAGGCACAGGCAGCTGAGTCAGGCAGCAGCGTCAGCTCGGCCCCTGAGAGTGAGAAAGAGGGGAAAAAGAGCAAACAGCACCTGTATTGTCCCACCTGCAAAGTGACCGTCAACTCCCTGTCCCAGCTGGAGGCTCACAACACCGGTAAGGGCATTACTGGGGGGCAGGGGGATGGGCCCCCTGCCACTTCATCGCGGCTCTGAGCAAAGCTCTGAGCGTGCCCCATAACCAAGCAGTCTTGCAATGAAGTAGCGAGCATTAATGAGTGTTGCTGTAATTAAAAAACGTTCATTAAAATGACCTGCACAGATAAGTCATGGGGCTTTACCTGGGCTGCAGCTTCTAGGGTGAATTTTCACAAGGTCAAACACTTTTATTGTTCATGTCTCAATTAAGGACATTTAATCAAGTGATTGACGCTGCTTTATTTTCTATTCGTCTTGAAGCTGATAGCCAGGGCTTCTTCCAAACCTGGAATAATACTTCCCAAGGCAGCTCAGTGGTTTGGGCTTGTGGCTGTGTGCAGAAGAACCTTGGGAATCCAATGAGCTGTGGAGCCCCATAGCCCAAAACGACTCCTGGGCTGTGTGGGGCAGCCCCTTGGGGTGGGCAGCTGTGGGAACTGCTGAGGGTCCCCCAGGGTGGTAGCAGGGGGTGGCAGCCATGCTACAGGGGTCCCCAGTAGGGTCTGCAGGCCCTGCAGTTCCAGCTCCTTGCTTGCTCCTTTCTCTAGAGGATGCTGAAGTCGGGCACCCCAACTTTAAATGGAAGGTCCTTTGCTGGGAAGCAATTCCTCCCAGCCCACTGCCTGCTGGGGCAGCAGCAGCTGCCGTGTGCAGGGTTGGCTCAGGACACTGCTGCGGCTTAGCTGCAGACGTGTCCTTTTGCTTTTGTCAGCTCCAGTTACAAATTCAGGAGCTGATTTGGGGAAAAAGAACAAACAAACAAACAAACAAACAAACGTTTGCAGGCTGGCGCTGCTCTGTGGCTGCCACACAGCTCCTTGCTTCACGCCTTAAAAAATAGAATGAATTAGCAGGGGCTTAAATTACTTGTTCCCCATGCACTCTCGCCATCCCGGCGCTGGCAGGGACAGGACAGAGCGCCCTGTCCCCAGGTGTGTGGGGATCTTGGGTTCCTCCTTCCCCACCTGCTGTGACCCAGCTGAGCTATTCCTGGCTCTGCTCTGACCTTGGGCACGGCTCAGATGCTGCAGCACGGCGGGCGACGCGCGCCCGACTCCGCAGACTGTGCTAACGCCCGGGGACAGGCGACAGGCTCCAGCTCACGCTGGAAATAGCAGCTTCTGCAAAGCTGGCACATGGAGGGGGGGTCTCTGGGAAGATGAGCAGCTCTGCTCTGCCTGCGACGTGCAGTTTGGCAGGGTTTGGGAATGGCAAAAGTTCGGGCTCCCAGGCAGCTCCCTGTCCTCTCTGCCTGCATGTGCTGCTGGGCACAGGTTGGTGCTGTTGGAGGGCACTGTTCCTGCTGCTGTGGCACTGGCACAGGGCTGGGTTTGCTGAGTGTCCCCTCTCCTCTCACCAGGTGCTAAGCACAAGTCAATGCTGGAAGGTCACGGCACCCAACTGCGGCGAGGCCGGGGCAAGCTGCTCTCTCGGGCAGGGCACAAGTCCAAGCGGATCGGGAACAAGGGCAGCATCAACATCCAGAACAAGGCATTTCACTGCCAAGTGTGCGAGATCTATGTCAACTCTGAGACCCAGCTCAAGCAGGTGACAATGCCCTGGGAGTGCCTGGGCACTGGGTGTGGGTGTGCAGGGCCTCAGGGTGTGGGTACCTGATGGCCCCTGCAGGGTGATGGTGTCCCCACAGACCTGAGCCACACAGTACCCGGCTGTCCTGGCTCCCAGTGATCCAGCTGTTTTCCTCCCCAGCACATGAGCAGCCGGAGGCACAAAGACAGGCTGGCAGGGAAGCCACCCAAGCCCAAGTACAGCCCCTACAACAAGCTGCAGAAGAATGCTGCCCTCGCAGTGAGTATTCTCAAGGTACCTGTCTCCCTGCACAGCACTCTCTCAGTTTGTTCACAGAGCCTCACTCACCATCAGCAATTCTTTCAGTGAGTTACGGGAGCTGATTCTCTTAAACCTTGGTTTCCATCACCACAGCTCAGCTTCTCCCCTCAAGAAGGATGAGCTGTGGTGGTGGGTTTTGTGTCACGGGGATAACTTGGGAGTGCTTTGGCAGCAGCATTCACAATGGCAGCACTTGTGATTCCTCCACCTCTTCTGCAGTCTCACGGTGTCTCCTCCTCCCTCCCTGCAGTCCAAGCTGGCTTTGCAGAAGCACCTCACCAAAACCCTGGCAACCCGTTTCCTGCCGAGCCCGCTCACCGCCGCTGCCGTCTGCGCCATGCCTGGACCCCTTGCCTTGCGACCAGCAGCTGCCACCACCCTGTTCCAAGCCCCGATCCTCGGACCAGCCCTTTTCCGAACGCCGCCGGCCCACGTCCGCCCCACGCCGGGTCCCATCGTCTTCGCACCCTACTAGAGCTGCCGGCCCACCGAGGGTCTGTCCGCTGCAGCTGGGCTGGGCTGCGGGGGCTGCGCGCTGGGGGCAGCGCTCCTGGTACCTGCTCTCCTGGCTGGTGGGAAAACGTAGTCGTAGACATCAACCCCGGCTTCTCCTTTGCTCGGAGAGGGCTCCCACTGGAGAGAGGTGCCCCGACAGAGCCTGGCCAGCCCCGCCGCGCATCCCCAGCGCTCCCCCAGCCTGTGCTGGTCCCCTGCTCAGCAGATGAGCCCAGGCAGTGCATGGAAGGGACAGTGTCCAAATCAGCAGGAGCATCTCATGGCCAGAGCCTGCCTGTCCTTAGCCTGTTGGTTGTTTCTTCATTGCCCTCCCAGTTACCAGGCTGGAAGGAGAGGAGCTGGCTGGTCCCTGGGAGAAGGAGCATCCCTGTGGTCCCTGCCAGTGCAGTCGGAAGGGAACTGCGAGGGGAATCTCAGCACAGCTCTTACTGGGAGAAACAACCCCAGCACAAGTGGGAAGCTGACAGTTTCTCTCTCAGCCTGGGCTGGCTGTGCCCTTGCCAGCCCTGCACCTACCTGTGCTGGCAGGGGGTTTCTGTGCCACCCACCAGCCCCCCGTCCCCACAATTCCCTATATCCCACCAGCCAAAGAGCCCCCGTGGTGGCAGGCACCGGCCACACTGACCGTATCCTCACTCCGAGAGCAATAGCTGACCCCAGGGCTGGTGCCTCCTCCCTCCAAAGCACACGGGCCCTGCCCTGGCCCCAGAAGCACACGATGGGCACATGGCTATGCTGGGCCCCACTCATGCCCAGCGAGGCCGGGGGTGCCAGGCTTGTCCAGTGCTGGCTCCCCAAGGAGGTGACCCTGTGCTTGGCACCTGTCCTTGTCTCTGTCCCACCGTGGGGACAGCCCTGCCCCTACCTCCCGGGAGACGCTGTGAGGCTGAGTGAATGTCCCTAAAGCACTTTCAGTTCTCCAGTGAAAGGCAACGCTGCTGCTCACCTGCCGTGCACAGCCCTCCAATCCCATCCCAGTTAGGAGCTTCCAGGAGGTTACTGATGATTCCCGAAATCAAAAGTGTCCTCAGCAGCCCGGACAATCAGGTGGCAGGTGCACCCATAGCCTGCAGAGTGCCAGGCTCTGGAGGGACCCCGAGGCCATAGCTCTGCATTTCACTGTGCTCAGACAGCCCAACCATGACCTGTCTGGGACTGTCACCGCAGCGCTCTGGGTGCCCAGCACGCTGCTGTACATAGAGAGAGTTGCATCCCAAATGGACCTTTCTCTGGAGGAACACCCCACCCTGATCTATGCAATCCAGGGGGCAGCTCACCCACCCGCCGCACTGGCCGCCTGCGATTCCCTTTGGTGCTGATGCATCCCTGCAGCTGGAGCCGTGGTGGCAGCAGAAGAACCAACATGACACTGAGCTCTGTCCTGTCCCTGGCCCAGGGTGCTGGTTCACACCTCTGCTGTGACTCCCATTCCCTCCCAGCCCTCGGGAAGAGGCAGGTTGGTGTGTGCACCTGGGAATCCACACGCACAAGCACACATATCTGAAGTCTTGGCCATAAGCAGCGCCTGGATTTCAGAAGGATTTTGCCCAGCGTGCTCCACTGATGCTCAGGATGGGGCCTGGCACGGGAAGGTGACCAGGAAGCGGCCAATGGGGGACTCAGATGGCTGAAACATATCTGCTTCCCATGGCTGGAGCCTGAAACATATCTGCTTCCCATGGCTGGAGCCTTGGCAAGGGCAGGAAAGCTGCAGGAAGGAGCACACACCTGCAGGGTCTGTGGGCAGCACCAACCATGGAGCCACCACTGCACTCCTGCCACGGAGACAGGAGAGTGAGGGAGCCCCTGGGTATGAATTCACCTGCTCAGGGCATCCCTTCCCCAGGGAAGGAGGAGAGTGGGGAGAGGGCACCAGGAGAAGAGTTAGCAGCTGTGCATGGAGGTAGTGGAAGGGTCTTGCAGCAGTGGTGGGATATGTGGCGTGGAGCGCAGCTGAGGGAAGCAAGGCTCCCAGCAGAAACGGCTTTATCAGGGATAGGGAGATGGTCCCATAGCCCAGGGGACACGCAGGGACCCCACATCCCAGGGGACAGGAGCCTGTGCTGGTGGGGTCCCTGGGGACAGGAGGGACGCTGTCCTCATCCCCCAGTGCCAAGCAGCCCATGGCTGGTGGTGTCCCCAGCCACCCCTGCCCGTCTCACTGTGCCCTTCCCAGGCCCTTGGGGTCACCCCCAGTCCAGCCACCGCAGTAGGACAATGGGTCCCCTCCTGTGCCATGAGCCCCTGGTGCCATGCCCAGCCCCTCAGAAGCCTGGGGAGCCAGGAGCAGCTGGGCTCCAGCCTGCAGAGCCACATGGCACCAGTGGGCCTGTTCCCCTCCATTGTTCCAAAAAGCCTGTGCTGGAGCCATGGCTGCTCCTTGTCCCTCACCAGTGGAGTCCTGACGCACTCCTGTTCTTGGCACTTTAACCCTGTGAAAGCCATTCCTTCTAGACAATAATACTGCAACGAGCTGCGTAAGAAACCCCCGTTATGGCATCCCCCAAATCCCCTCCTGCTCTCCAAAGCATTTACTGCCTTTGACTTAGCACATGCTGTACTAGGAGTAGGGATAGTCCATAGCGCTCGGTAACGTGTGCCCCTCTGTAAATAACCTTGGAGTGATGTGAAATTTGATTCAAAACACCAGAAAAAAAAAACCAAACCAAACCCAAAATGGAATATCCAGACTCTAGGGACTTGGCCAGTACCCTCCTGTAATGTTCATTGTATATTTTTTTTGATGTACTATAACTGTTGGGAAAAAAAAAAAAAGGAAAATATTTTGATAACCGAATCTCATCGCTTTATTGTGTTACTCGGTAAATAAAAGGAACAAGTATAAACACACTGGGGCTTTTCATCAATTCCTTTCCTACATCCAGACTACCTGAAGGGAATAAGTGTTGCTGGGTAAGGCTGGGACACCTGTGCCTTATCTTAAGGTAGTTCTGAGAAGAGGCAGCATTGTGACAGGTGGGCAGTGAGAGCTGCCATAGCCCAAAGCATCTGGGGTGTGCAGGGTAAGTACAGTCCCACTCCTCCAAGGATCTAGGTATGCAGGTGAAGCACAACCCCATCTCCTCCAAGCTCGTGGCTGAGTCTGCACTCAGGAAGAGGAAGGCTGGAATGGTGGATTTGGGCACTCTGCCCTCAGGAACAGCACCTGCCCTGCTCTAGGCATTCCCTGGTGCAGCATGTCTGGATATTCCAGTGCATAAAGGAGCAGTGGACACTGCCAGGGTAAGGGACAAGCTGCCAGGGAGCAGCACAGAGGCAAGGAGAGCTGCTTGGCTGGAGGCAGGGCCAGCAAACAGGCCCTGCCCAAATGCTATCAGGAAATACAAAAAGAGGGAGTTGTTCTCTCCAGATGTGGAGCTGATGCCCACGCTCCAGCCAGCCTGTGCTGTGCCTCTGTTCCACTCTCCCAGCCTGCACCTGAGAGCAGAGGGGGTCACTGAGTGAATCCTGACCTTCCTGTAGCACCTCTGACAGCTGCAGGGGCTGGGCAGGGAGAGGAGTGGTTCTGTCCCACTGCCTCTCTTGTCCACCAGGACCATCCCTAGCCCTGGCATGATTGTTCCTCCTGGTCACCTGCTTCCTACAGGCTCCGTGACACCAGACTCAGCAGGAGGTGTGTGCGAGGGAAGCAGGAAGGTGAGGAAGAGGAGGTGGCAACGGAAGGGAAGGGGAAGCAGGCTCATCCATCCATGGATCCACTGCCCTTGTTCTTGCGGCTCAGGGGGAAGGCAGATTTGCTCTGTGGCTGTGTCATCTTGCTGGCCAGGTAGATGAAGGGCTCGATCAGTGTGCGCCGGTCAGCCACGGACACCTCCCACAGCTTCACCTTCTCACCCTTGGCCCAGTGCTGGGCTGCATCATGGTCCACCCGGCGCTGCTCCTGCAGGTCACACTTGTTGCCCAAAACCACAATGGTGACCTGTTCCAAAAGGGTGAGAAGGGCCCCTGACGACCAACTGCAGAGCTGCAGGGCTGGCTGGCTCTGCCATGAGCCCCTCAGTGCTGGGCCTGGCCCTGACGCTGATTCCCCGTCCATGTCAAGGCCTTTTGAAACCCAGTGCTCTCAGTGCTCCCTTCCCCTCCTGCTGGGGTCTGTGTGTCCCAAACCAGCCCCAAAGTGGAAGGAGCTTTTGAGCACCTGCATGCTCAGAGAGCATGCCAGGAGACAGCCTTTTACTGCTGGGAGTCTCCCAGATCAGCGACCCATCAGTATCTTGTGACAGGCTGGAGAAAACAAAGGTGAGAACCTGCCCCAGGGGAGCAGATCCCACTCCGCAGCCCCTTCTCCGGGGGGACTCACCTCCTTCTTGTCCTTGGACTTGTCGATCTCCTTCTTGAGCAGCTCGACACGCTTGAAGGACTCCTTGCTGTCGGTGCTGTAGACCAGCACGTAGCCGTCGGTGCAGGAGAAGCAGTGCTTGGGCAGCTCCAGCCCGTCCCGCAGCCCCCGCGTGTCGTAGAAGCGCACCTGCTCCCTCACGCCCCGGTCGGTCTCGATGGAGCCCACGTAAATGTCCTCCTGGGTCTCGATCATCTCCGAGCCTGCCGGGGGTGGGCAGGGGACACGTGGGAACGCTGCCGGGGCCCTGGCCGGTGTGTGGGGGTGACCAGGGGGATCCCCAGAGCCAGCACTGCCCAGGGCCCGACCAGCTACGCTGGGGGAGCCGCGGAGCGGCCTCTGCCCTGCGCCGCACTCACCGACCACATGGTTCCCGTAGAGCAGCTGCTCCAGGATGGAGGTTTTCCCGACCGAGGCCTGCCCGCACACCACCACCTTGCAGCTCTTGCCCATCCCGCCTCACCGGGGCGGGCGCGGCCGAGCCTCACCGGCAGCGGCGGGAGGGACGCGACGGCACCACAGCGCCCCACTGTGGGCGGGAGGACCGCGAGAGCCGGCGCTGCCCCGCTATGGGAAGGGCCGTGGTCAGGATAAGCCACGCCCACCGCCCGGTCGAGTTCCGCCCTCCTCCCGGTACCGGCCCCTCCCGATGCCGCCGCCGGGCTCCTCCGCGGGCGCCCCCTGCCGGTCGGGCCCCGCCCCGCTCCACCGGCGGAGGTCCCGCCCGTTCCGGCCCTCGCCCCGCCCCGCCCCGCCCCGGTCCGGCCCAGCCCCGCGCGGTAAGATGGCGGCGGCGGCGGCGGCCGAGGCCGAGTGCGATGTGGTCATGGCGGCGCCCGACGGGCCCGGCGAGACCGACAGCGACGAGGAGGCGCGCAGGTAGAGCGGCGGTCCGGGCGGGGAAAGGGCGGCCCGTGTCCCTCCCGGTGGGCGCACCGCGGCCCGGCGAGGCTGGAGTGCCGCAGGGCCCGCGGCCGCGGTGCGGGGCGGCTGCCGGTGCTCGGCAGGGCCGGGAGCGCGCCCGGGGACTGCGGTCGGTCCTTGCCCGGGCGGACCCCGCGGGCAAAGTCCTGTGTGCGGGCCGGCCGGGGGCGGCGGCGCCCCGGGGCCCGGCGGGCGGTGACAGCCTCGGGCCGCACGCGGCGGGGCCCGGGAGCCGCTGGATTTGCGGTGCCGGTGTGTCCCAGCGAGCTCCGGGATTAGAACACCCCCCCGTTACCGGGGTGGCCCAGAAATGCAGTGTCCCGAGGCCACACAGCCTCACCGGTGCCGGGGGAGCGTCCTCCCCCTCGCTGGGGAGGGGAGGATTAAACTCGTGGGAAGAGGAGGCTCCAAACTCCTGAACCCTTTGCTGCTCCGTCCCCGCGTCCTCCCGGTTCTGTTCCGTTTGAAGCCTGCCCCGAGTGACTCCATCCTGCCTTGCTGTGGGTAACGGGAAGGATGCAGAGCGCTGCCCCGGGAATGCTCCATCATCCCGGAGCTCCCGGTTTGTCCGTGCTGTGCCCGGGGGAGCTGCCAGTGTCGCCTGAGGCAGGGCGAGGTGGGATCCCCACCTTTCCCACACGTTTTCCCCCCAGGAGCTGTGGGAAGGTCCCTGTCCTGGAAACTCCAGTGGTTTTCCATAGTGGCAGGTGCTGGGTTCATATCCCTGGAAGGAAAGAGCTGTTCCTGGAGGAGCTGAGGTGTTTGCTCTGGAAGATGATGCAGTGGAATGAAGAAGAGGAAACAAACCCAAAAGCGGCCTCTGAGGAGTGGTGGTTTCAGGCTCCCGTTGATGGCTGAAGGAAATCTGTGGAATTGAGGCCCGAGGAGCAGCTCCCAGGGGAGATCCTGCTGAGCAGGAAAGGAGGAGCTGCTGAAGAGGCACTTGGGGCTCGCAGAGCAGCGCCCAGCCTGCGGGGCTGGGACGGGCCTGTGTGGGCACATCCCTGCCCTCTGGGCAAGCGAAATGTGGCCTTTGAAACGGTGGAAATTCACAGAGGTAAAACCCTGGCTGAAGGCACAGGTGTCTGCAGGTAGTGACCTCCAGCTCCTGTTCTCTTTCATTAGGTGCTTTCACAGTGTTTCCTTTTCGTGTTCTCTTGGGAATGTTGGACCTTTCCCTTGCTAAAATGGATCCATATGGGCGGGAGCTAATTCCTTGGTGTTGCTCTGGGGGAGCCAGCCCTGCACACCCCGATTTCTTTGCAGTTCTGTGCATTAACCTCTTCCCTACCCCAGCCCTTCCTGTTTCACTGTGGTAGCTCAGTTGCTCTCGTGGAAATCAGAGCAATAACTGCTTTATTGGTGTGGAGTTGGAGCTCAGAAGGTGTCAGGTGTTTGTGAAGCATCCCAGGCCAGGTAAGAGCTGGGTGAGCTCCTCATGGTACACACTGATTTGGTGCAGCCTTTGGGGTGTATCTGCGCTCACTTCCATAAAAATCAGCAAAAGTAAGGGGAAGCCTTTTCAAAATCCTTAGGATAACTCAACAATGAGGGTTCCATGTCCAGTTTAGGGATTACAGTAGAGCAGAATATGGATATTTTGCTCTAGGACTCACCTTTGTCCAAATGTACAATTGTGTTTTCTGTAGCTTAATAAAACTGGAAAGTTAGAAAATGAGCAAAAGGGGAGATCTGCATTTCAGAATGGCTGTAACTAACGCCCTGAAGCAGCTGCAGACATGCCAGAGGGCTCCCAGGGTGTCCAGGGCACAGGAATGGAGTGTGGTCACAGGATAATTATTGTCTGCTGCTGCCTCATGGATTGTTGGGGTCCTGGCAGAAAGTGTTGATGTAATTGTGTTAATTTTATCCGTTGGTGCGCCAGGGCAGAGCCGCTGATGAGCAGGACTGGGCCTCACTTGTTTCTTCATTAATTTTAAAGGTTTCTCACCCATGGGAACAGTTTTTCCCTGCTCCCAGCTGCTTTGTGAGCTTGGGCCCCTGGAGGTTTGCCAGGGAGAATTTCCTTGTCATCTTCCTGGCACCTCTGAGTTCTGGCTCCCATGCTTGCTCCAGGCTGGATCTTTCTCCTCCTTCTTCAGCACTGGAACATATGGAAACTTTGTTTTGTTAAAAAACCTCCAGCTGTCTGGAAAATACTGCTAGGAGATTGCAGAGCCCCTGCTGCAGGCTTGGGATGTGTTGGTGCCTCTTTGGGGGCATCAACATTTCCCACAGCAAAGTGATGAGCACGGAGTGGCCCACACAGAGTCCTGGAGGTTCTGGCCTGGCGAGGCTGAAGGTCACTGGCCAGGTCTGCAGGTGTTCCCTGGAGCTTGTCAGGTGTTGGTGAGCACCAAGAGGCTTTTCCAGTGCATGGAGTGAGGTGTATCACAGCGAGGCTCCTCTAGAATAGATGTAATTTCTGGCCAGTTTTGTGGCAGCGCTGGCAGGAGGGGGTGAATCATCTGAGGGGCACCAGGTCGTTCTGGGATAACCTGGAAATGGCTCTCCTACTCCTGTTCTGCCCATAAATGGACACTTGGGTTTCCCAGGTGATAAACCCATTTTACTCATCTGGAATTATTTTGTGATCTCATGGTCATACCAGAAGCAGCACAAGGTACTTGGGTAGTTGTTTGCTTCCCTGTGCATCTGCAGAGTATTTGAATATCTAACTTAAGCAGCTGTTTTATCCAGTAGGAAAAGGTGATCCATACCTACAGTTTCAACCTATTTCTTTAACATGAAATGTGCTTTTTTGAGGTGAATCGTAATGTAGATGCAGTTGTTGTCCTGTGGAATTCTTAAGCTGGTTGGCTTCCTTCATTCAAAAGGAATTGCTTCCTTCAAAAAAAAAGCAGTCTCAGGGTGATTCTAGACCGTTCCATGGATTTTCACAAAAGTTATGCTGTGGCCCTGCCATGCAGGATGGGGGCATTGCTGGGAATTAGGTTAATTCTGAGCTCCGGGAATTACATAACGGCACAATTAAAGCTGGGGCTCGGCTGCTCTTCTCACTCGTGGCTGCAGGGAAGGTTTGGGTCAATTCTTGGATTTCTCGTGGCATATTTTGGTCCTTGTGGCTCTTTTGGCCTTCCGAGTTTGCCCTCGGTTATGAGGAACATTCTGAGGGTTTGAGCACCTTGTGGGTTCAGGTTCAGCTCTGCTCTTGGGGAGGCTCGAGGCAGCCCTTTGTTACGTTTCCATGGGTGAGTCCTTGGCCCATTCACGTAGATATTTTCATGTCCAGACTCAGATTTCCCGAGCTGGGGGCTGTGTGGAGTCTCTGCCATGGTGTCTGTGCGTTGGGGGGAGCTGATGTGCCAGGAATCAGCTCTGCTCTGCCCAGCAGGGCACAGCAGTCTGTCACACACCACTGTGTGTGACCACTGCCTCAGGGAGCCTGTCCCAGTGCCCACACACCCTCCGGGGGAGAAGAATCTTTTCCTAAAATCCAACCTAGCCTTCCTTCACCCAGCTCCGGCCATTCCCAGGGGTCACCAGAGAGAAGAGCTCACTGCTTGCCCCTCTGCAGCCCCCCATGAGGAAGTTGTAAATATATATTCCTTTATGCCTAAGTCCTCACTCAGTGTCAAACCTCACCTGAGGACAGGTCTCTAAAGTGCACCCTGTGTGTCTTTCTGGAGTGTTTTGTTTCTCTTCCAAGTCCTGAAAGAAGGGAGGGGAGGGTATTGTATGTCCAGGGGCAAACATGATGGCTAATTTTAAGCTCTAGACATCTGCCTGCTGTAAACTGAATTGAGATCACACAACTTATTTTACCCCAGCGGCTGAGTCACATCTGACAGCTGAGAATCTGGGTGGGATTTCACCCCCAAAAATGCCTGATAAAGGCACCAGATCCTATTGATGGAAAAGCCTCTGCAAGAACTGCACAAAATTGCCAGAGCATAACAGGAAAGATTACTTGGTCAGGATAGGATTTTGGAGCCTTCCTTAAATCCTGGTTATTTTAGGGTTTTGCCACCGTTTCATAATGGAGGCAAGCAGTGAAGTGGGAGTGAGGGTCAGGAGAGCTGGGAGATAGTGACTCTGCCACCTGCTTAGGTGTTGGATTTCTGTCACTGGTGGTATTGCCTTGGCACATCCCTGCCCAGGGGCTGTGCCAAGCACATCTGGATCAAGAGCTGCTGGGTTACAGATCCCTGAAGGTTCCCATGACAGAAAATCAGGTGTCTGCAGGAGTCTCATTGGGAGCTGGAGTGGGAGGTGGAAGCCACGATCGGCACTCGAGCGGGGGCAGCGTGTGGAAGCTCTGAGGAGGAGGCAGGAGTTGTTAGGCAAGCGTGGGATTGTGTCACCGTGCACAGGATGGCTTCTCCCAGAGCTGCTGTGCTGGGAACGAACAGGGACTGAGCTTTCACAGGGCATGGGGAGGAGAAGGAGCCTTGTGCTGGCTCCTCTCTCCCCAGGCAGGCAGCGAGCTCCATCCTCAGAGCTTGAGTGTGCGAGGGAGCATCAGCACATGCAGCTGCTGCTGGTCTCCCTTGGTCTCCAGCTGTGCCAGAAGAGGTTCAGGTTGGTCATGGGGTGGAATTTCTTCTCAGAAAGGGTTGTCCAGGGAGCAGTTGGAGTTCCTGTCTCTGGAGATGTTCGAGGAGTGACTGGACATGACACTCTGTGCTCTCTGGTCTGGTTAACAAGGTGGTGATTGGTGTCTAAAATCTCACAGGCTTTTCCAACCCAAATGACTCTGTGGTGACAGGTTCTCTGCGGTGACTGGGACCAAAGTGCTTCAAGTATTAGAGAGGCTGAGAAATACCATAAAAGAGAAAAAAATAATTGCCTAGTTTGCAAAAAGAGTCACTCCCACCAGCCCCTCCTGTGCCTGTGGTGCATGTGAGTGATGAAAGACAAGCTTCTTACCCAGCTCCTTGGTGCAGCTCTTCTCTGTTTCTGTGTCCAGCATGGAGCAGCCCAGTGAACACACCAACCCCGTCACAAAGGCACCCATTCAGCTGGGGGTGTATTTTAGCAAAGCACGATTCTTCTTCAGTGTCAAAAGTAGCAAGTGGGGAGTGCAGGCCCCAGCAGCGCAGGAGGCAGAATGAGCTCATTCAGGCCACAGCATCTGTTGGGCTGAAACAATCCCCAGTGAGATCAGGGGCTGCAGTTCTCCTTGTTGGAGCCAGAGCCATGGTAAACAAGGGCTGTGTGCTCTGTATGTCATCAGGGCACAACAGGGCAGAGCTGCTTCTGTCCTGGTGCTGGAGCTGCAGCCCAGCCTGGCAGCTCCAGCAGGTCCTTTGCCTTCGTGCTGCAGAGGTGATTTGCTTTCACAATCTTCATGGTTAAGCCTTAGGCCATGTGAGCAGCAGAAATACCTGTGCTCTCCTTTCTGCCAGAGTCACCCGAGGCTCTGTGACTTGTTGATACATTGATCTGCATTAAAATGCTTAAAAGGAAGACAGACCAATAAAAAAGAGTAGAAAACAGTAATCTTTGTGTGGGAGTGTTTCTCTGGCATCTCACAGTGCCGGTGCTTTCTGAAAATTGGTTTTGCCAGGGTTATGTTTTCTTTCTCCCATTTTCCCAGCTCTTCCCAGCAGTTTGTGGCAGATGGGGTGCTCTGGCAGCCAGCCTTTAGCTGTGTCTATTAGATGGTAATTGCTCATGACAGGACAGGTAAAATGGCTAAAAGATTTGTGATTCAGCCCACTGTGCTGGACAGGTTGTGGTGGTGACTCAGGTAAGTTCTGCCATTAAGACTGTTCACCCATTTCTTTAAACTGTACAGCAAAGACCTGAGGGAAGGAGCTTTCATAGAATCTGTGATTTTCTTTTCTATTTGCAATTACCAAAACAAGAGAACAGTGAAACTCTTTACTGCCCAGGTTCCAAAAGTGCAGAAGAGCTGAGTAGTTTTTCTACTGTATTTAGATATTTGATCTGTAATATTCAAAAAAGGTGGTTGTGTTTGGAAACATTTTAATCATGCAGAGTTTGCATCCTCATGCTTGTGATATGGATCCACCCCAGGGCATATCATTGTTGCACATCAGTGTAGCTGGGAGAGTGCAGAGCTCCTGGGATTCTGGTGGGTACTTGAGGAAAAGCCAGGCTGCAGCACCTGCCTCAGCTGTGATGCTGGGAGGGCTGTGGCAGAGGAGGGATGGCAGTTTCCCATCTCCAGTGGGCCAGTTCATCATTTTCTGGAGCAGGGGTGGGAGGAGCTGAGCCAGAACAAGGCTCTTGGGGGGCAGTGGGTGTGTGCTACCCCTTGCTCTGCCACAGTTCTTACCCATCTCATCTCCTCCCAGGGTTTAACTCCCACAGAGCTGTGGCTGGACTCGGCTGGGGTGTAGCACACAGCAAAACTTAAAACTGAAAGTGAAGAGCACACTTCCCAGCTCCCAGTGTCCATTGTTCTGCCAGCTGGGAAATCTGTGATGGCTCAGTGAAAACAACCCCTGCATGAGGTGGTTGTGTGGGAATGGCCAATGGCAGCCTGAGCAAGGCTGAAAACATGGGAACTTGTTCCAACACAATTCCCTTTGTTCTCTCCCAGGTCAGCCTGCTGAGCACTGCTCACATTTGCTGTTCCATCACTGTGATGTGCTCTCCCTCTTGCCCTGTGCAGGTGAAAGGCTGAAGGGACATGAGGGAAGAGAAGGGCCTTGGTTTCCCTCAGGGGAAGCTTTGCTTTCGAGAGTTTAAGGGAAGCTGCTTTAAACCATATGTTGTGTGTTTTTAAATGTCCCAAACTGTCTCTGCAAATGCTTGCTCTTGAGTGTGAGGACTATTTCTAGACCTGTTGCCAAGGCAGTGCCAGGCTTCTGTTGCAGGCTTGTACCCATATTTCTCTTTGATTTAGCTGTCTTTTGAATGTGGAAATTGTTCTTGGCTCTGGTTTGTGAGTATGTGGGACTCCTGAAAGAGCCAGCACTATCTCTTTTGTTCTGAGGTGCAGCACCTTGCAGGAGGGGGCTGTTGGATGAACTCCATACCAGGGTGTTCTGCTGGACTCTCCGAGGGGACTCAAAGGTGGCTTTAGGCTTCTCTTGCATCCCTGTAAAATTTGGCCAGGAAATATTGCTGAGTATCCCAGGTGAAATGCTGGAGTAGCTGGGAGCCAGCGGGAAATGGGGGGTGCTGAGGAGATCTCACAAGAGCCAGCTTAAATTTGGAGCATTAAACAGTTACACTGCTTGGGGGTCAAATGCTCATCATGGTCACAATCTGTCTGGTGCTCAGTTCTTCTGAAAGTGTGGTGTTTTGCTTCCTTTCAGAGAAGCAGAGGCATTCAAGGAGCAGGGAAATGCATACTATGCCAAGAAAGATTACAACGAAGCATTCAACTACTACACAAAAGCCATAGGTGAGAACAGCTGATAATATCAATCTTTACTGAACACCATGTCTAAAACTGGAGCTGGTTGCTGATTTCAAACACACCAGTGGGGTTTCTGACAGCACATGCTGAATGAAAACCTCTTGCCTGCTTTAATTACCTTGGGAAATGTCACCAGATCGATAATGCCAGTCAGGGCCAATGTTCTTAAGTGCCACGAGTTGTGCAGCTGCTGCATTACGCTGATAATGAGCCTTGCATTGTCTCCAGATACGTGTCCCAATAATGCCAGTTATTATGGGAACAGAGCTGCCACGCTCATGATGCTGGGGAGGTTCCGAGAAGCGCTGGAGGATGCTCAGCAGTCAGTCAGGCTGGACGACAGCTTTGTACGGGTACGTGGAGAGCTTCAAGCACCTCGTTCAGTCCCTTGTCTGCACCTGTTACAGCTCTTGCAAATCCCTTTTCTCTGTGTTCCCAGGGCCATCTCCGGGAAGGGAAGTGCCACCTTTCCCTAGGGAATGCCATGGCTGCCAGCCGCTGCTTTCAGCGAGTTTTAGAACTGGATCATAAGAATACCCAGGCACAGCAGGAGGTAAGAGGATCCTCAGACTGAACTGTGCCCAGTAGATGCTCAGGAGGCTGAGCTGGCCAAAGGAGGAATGGATGGTGGTGTAAGGCAGCTGCCACTGTTGCATCTCTTTCACAGGGTACATTTTCCTGGACTCTCAGTTCAGTCACTTTATTTCAAACCGAATTTAATGCTGGGAAAAGCATTCATGTCACCTGCATTATTGATCCATGATCTGCAGTAGTTTTGGCTCTGACATTCAGGGATTGGCGGTTCAAATGCTGCTTGGTGGCATTTCAGAGCAGAGTCTGTCCTGCAGCACTTGTGTGTTCTGTCTTTCAGCTGAAGAATGCCACGACTGTGCTTGAGTATGAAAAAATAGCTGAAGTGGATTTTGAGAAACGGGATTTCAGGAAGGTGAGATCGACTTGTTTGCTGTGGTCTGATACAAAAACTGGTGTGTTTGACATGGCCCAGGCAGGTGTGTGGCTGGTTTCCTGGCTGGGTATTTGGAAGTGCTGTGCCACATCTCCTGGAGCAGGGCTGGCTGGTGAATTGTGTCAGCTCTGAAAGTGGCAGAGCTCGTGCTCCCTGAGCACTGGCCAAAGGACAAGTGAGGAGGCGACTGGCTCAGGCCAACCCTCTGTCACTGCTTGCTTTGCAGGGTGAGTGGAGTCATGATTGAGTTGTTTGAGACAGATTTTGTTAGCAGCTTTGCTCCTGAAATGCATATCCAGGATTCTTCTTTCTCAACTCTTTGAAAGAAAAAAAAAAATTAAAAAAGGCGTGCTGTGTGCCAGGTCATACAAGGAGGAATGCAGATCTGCATGGGGCGTTCTCTTTACAGTTTCCAAATCTTTCTTCCCAAGGATTGTAGCAGGATGCAGCTGGTACTGACTTGATAGAACAAGAAATGACAACATGAAATCTGAAAGGCACCAAGCACTTCTCATTGCAACTGTTTCTATGCTGTGGATGCATGTAAGGCTCAGATTTATCCCAGGAAAGAGAATGTCTGGTACATTGAGCTCATTGTTCAGGTTACTCTTAGGTTAAGCTCAAGATTTTGGAAGGGTAAATCCCAGCTTTGTATCACCTGTTTCTAAGGAGCAAATGGGATGTGTGATCAATGTGAATTTCCTGTGTAGGAATTGCCCTGCCTGTGTGGCACGTCCTGGGCATCTGCATCTGTCCCTCACTTCCCCAGTCCCACTTCACTGGGGAGGCTAACATGAAACATGATCTTTGTTTGTGGAGAGCTGCTCCTGCCTCACCAGGAGCCCTTGGCTCTGGAGCACAGTGCTTCCCACAGCAGGAGCCCGTGATGTCACGGGCTGAGGAGCAGATGAACCTTGGGGAACAATGCCCCGTTCTTGCCCAGATGTCCCCACCAGAGTGCAGGGATGGAAAAGACCCATTAGCTCACCCTGCCCATGGCTGTCAGGCCAGTGGAAGATCAGTCCTTACACTGTACTTTTTTGTGTTTTGTCCAGTCCAAACTGTCTCAATCTATTGAATTTCTGTTCCTCCCACATGGCTCTATACTGCAGGAAACAGGGGCAGGATTGTCCTTCTTGGCCCTTTCTTTAGGGTTGCAATTTAGAAGAGTTAAAGGGATGGACCTCCTACAGGTGTCCCTGGGGTCATTTGTAGTGCTCTGTCACAGTAACACAGCAGATGCCTCAGACCTTGACCCACAAAGCACAACCTTTGAAAAAGATATGTACTTTGAAAGGCACATCAGGAAAATAGCACAACCTTTCAAAAAGGTATATACTTTGAAAAGCCTAGCAGGAAAATAGCACAACCTTTGAAAAAGGTATGCACTTTGAAAAGCATAGCAGGAAAATTTTCCAATGCAATGTGTCTCCAGCAGCAGTGCAGGTGGGTGTGTGCATGCTCACCTTCCTGGTCAAAGACAAACCTCAAGTGTTCAGAGCAGGCCCTTGGCTCTCTGCTGTGCTCAGGGCTGTGCTTTCTCCCACCCCAGGTTGTGTTTTGCATGGATCGTGCTCTGGAGTTCGCTCCCGCCTGTCACCGGTTCAAGATCCTCAAGGCTGAGTGTTTGGCACTGCTGGGCCGGTACCCCGAGGCACAGTCTGTGGCCAGGTGAGTTTCTGAGGGCTGGGGCTGAGGAGAACCTGCTGGGTGTCCTGGCTCTATGTGCTCCATGCATGGAATAAGTGAGGGAATAGAAAATACAAAAATTCCTTAGTGCATCTTTGTGGGAAATGGATTTGTAGAGAGCTTTTAGGGCTTGACAGAAGGCACACAGTGTGCATCCACATGGAATCTTTGAGACAAGAAATGCTGAGAAACTGTCAAAACTTTGAGACAGATATTGGTGAGAGAGAAATGGAGCTAGAAGAAAGTTTCAAAAGATGGCCTTGCAAATAAGACTAGATATTTTGGAGAAATAGAACTATGCAAGATGCCTTGTGGTGGGACCCACGAGGGGTAATTTTAGATGATGTAAATGCCTTTAAGGCATTTACAGCATGGTGTGGCAAAAAGCTGATAAGCCAAGAAACCCTTATAGTGTATTATAATTAGGAAATAGTTGGATTGTGGTTGTGATGGCATGAATTATCTGTATTGTCTCACCCTTCACATAAGACTGAAAATAAAATAAATTAAATAAATAAAATGAAATTTTTTTAAATGCCTCTCAGTTGCCCCATCTCTGGGTCAGGAAAAGGGTATTATCCAACAAATGTTGTGATGAGGAGGGAGTGGTTGAATTTATCCCCATTAATCTTCATGGGAAGCTGCATCCAAACCCCATTCACACCAACCGTCCTGCTCGAGGAGTCTTCTGTCCTTTTGCCTTTTCTGTACCACAGACTTGTTAAAATACCTGGGTACTGTAGCTATGATATTTTATCAAAAATCCTTTGCTAGGATTTTTTCTCCTGAGAAGCTGAAAAGCCTCAAGAAAGTTATTGTTTACATTTCTATCTGCTGCTGTGGAATGCAGCAGGTGCATCTGTGATTGGTGTTTTTAATTAACAGCCAATCACACTCAGCTGGCTCGGACTCTCTGGGAGTCAGGAGCCTTTGTTATCATTCCATTCTTGTTCTTTCCAGCCTTCTGATAAATCCTTTTCTCTCTATTCTTTTAGTATAGTTTTAATAGATCATTTTAATATAACATATATCATAATATAATAAATCAGCCTTCTAAAACGTAAAGTCAAGATTCACATCTCTTCGCTCATCCCGGGAGCCTCCTCACACAGAGCTTCAACCAAAGGGTGCCTCAGTGGAGGGAGTGCTTGTGTCTGGGGAGGAAGCAGGAGCAGGGAGGATGTCCTTTGTTGCTGTGTTGCAGTGATATCCTGCGGATGGACTCGACCAACGCCGACGCGCTGTACGTGCGCGGGCTGTGCCTGTACTACGAGGACTGCATCGAGAAGGCCGTGCAGTTCTTCGTGCAGGCCCTCAGGATGGCCCCTGACCACGAGAAAGCCTGTCTTGCCTGCCGGGTAAGTGCTGGAGATGGGGCTGTAAAATCACCAGGAATTGGGTTTTTTTTTTACTTAACACGTAGTTTGGTTCTGTTGGATCAATCCCTTCTCCCGCCCTCATCGCTGGCTGTCACTGTCATATTTTCTGGAAAAATCCCTTCGCCAGGATTTCTTCTCCTGGGAAGCTGAGAAGCCTCAGAGAAAAATGAAAACAATAATTGTCCGATTGTTTCTCCTGTGTTTTGCTGCTTTGGAGATTGTTTACCAACAGGTGGTTGTTTGATTGGTTTCATGTGAATTGTTTTGACTTAATGACCAGTCACAGTCCAGCTGTGTTGGGAGTCTGGAAGCTGTCATGAGTTTATTAGTATCTTGTTAAGCCTTCTCTATTCTTTAGTATAGTTTAGTATAGCATTCTTTAATATAATATAATATAATATCATAAAATAATAAATTAGCCTTCTAAGAACATGGAGTCAGATTCTCAATTCCTCCTTCGTCCTGGGGACCCAGCAAATACCACAATTGGCTTTCCCAGCTCTCCAGGAGCAGGCAGTGTGTCCAACCCTTCCCAAAGACAGCCAGCTGCTGCCTCAGATAAAACCATGCTCCTAGGAACTATTTCTCAGCAGATACTTTGAAGCATCCTCCCCTTCACTCTTCTTTGTTCCCTGGTCAGACAGAGCAGCAATAAAACCAGATACATTGGTTTTAAAGGACCTCCTGACTTTCAGATCCAATATCCAGGCAAATACCCTGACTTTCATTTAGCACTGTTCCTTCGTGTTGCTCCTTCCCTGGTGTGGTTCTTCGACTGACTTTAAATCTGTTCATGTGTTCTCTAAAAGTGAATTCCTGGTCCTTTTATTTTAATCCATAAATTTACTGCACTGTCATGTTCCCTTCTTAAAAATTAGGCAGCCTTTTTCCTGTGGAGGATGCCTGGAACTGGCACTGGCTGTTCCTTAGTGCTTCTCTTGGGGGAAAGGCAAAGTGAGATCATTTCAGCTGCTGGAGCAAGGCTGTGACTTGTATCCTGCAGCAGTGTGTGAAAGCAGAGCAGAACTGTTGTGTCTCAGGACCCTTGTCAGGCAGAACAAGGTGTCCTCCCCCCTGACCTCATGTCCTTACCCAGGTGTGTTTCCTTTCAGAATGCCAAAGCACTTAAAGCGAAGAAGGAAGATGGGAATAAAGCATTCAAGAAAGGCAACTACAAACTAGCATATGAACTGTACACAGAGGCACTAGGAATAGACCCAAATAATATCAAAACAAATGCCAAACTCTACTGCAACAGGGGCACGGTTAATTCAAAGGTAAGGGACGGTCCCCTGGCAGGTAGCTGTTGCCATATCCCTCACCATGGCAGTGACAAACCACAGATCAGTTATTCTGGAAAGCACAGCCTCCCCTGGCTGCTGGGCAGCTGCATCTCTGAGGCCATGGGCAGTGTTTCAGGGTTTTGTGCTTGCACAATACTTGGATCAGTTCCCAACAGCCAGCAGTTGACTCCTGCAGAAACAAAACTGAAATACTTGGGCTGCACAGAGTGGGAGGGAGAGGAGGGACATGCTTCAGCCTTATCTTAGTCAGCAAAAAGCACCCCTGTCTCTGTTTGTTTCCTTCCCAGGAATGAACAGATTTATTTTCCTATTCTTTTTATAAATCATGTCTTGCTTTGTGTTTTTATGTTAAAAAAAAAAAAATCCAAAAAACAAAACAACCTAATTTAAAGCCCCATGACACTTCTTCAGTTTGCTGTTGAATTTTAGTCCTGCACTATCCAGAGAAACAGCCAGTCATGGGACAGTGCTCCCAATTCCCACCCTGTGTCCTCTGGGCATTTTCCTTCCTCTGCTGCCCCAGTGTTGATGCTGCTTCCCCAGACACCCCTACCTGGTCAAGAGACACAGGCTGTTCCCAAAACCTGGGAAGTGGGATGAGCTGGAGGCCACATAATGCATGTCTTCCATGTTTGTGTCTGAAAACAAACAACACTTCTTCTAAAAAAGATTTATTTTAAATATTTTTAGGTTTATCTTCCTGCCCAGGAATTAGTTTGGACACAGAATTGGGATTGTTATCAGAAGGGCCCTTGTTTTGAGTGCATTTCTTACACAGAAGCACCTCATAGCTCTGTCATGTCACTGGCCAAGCCTCTGATGTTTTTTTTGGTTTTTTTTCCCATTGAACAAAAGCTCTGTATTTGTGGGAAACCAGAAAAAAAAAATCCTAGACAGAGACCCAGAAAACAGTGAGATTTTCCCAGATCCTTCACACCTTTCATTAGCCTGAAGTGGTGGTGCAGAGTTTGTTCTCTGTGTGGGGTTCACTCTCTTGTGTGTGATGTTGCAGCTTAGGAAACTCGAAGAAGCGATCGACGACTGCACGAACGCGGTGAAGCTGGACGACACGTACGTCAAAGCCTACCTGAGGAGGGCACAGTGGTGAGTACACCTTGGCACGGGGCACCAGTGTCCTCCTGGCAGCTCTGAGGGACAGGATCACAAATCTGGAGCTTGACTGAATAGAAGGGGTGGAGCTTTGAATTTATTCCTCTTCCTTGTGCTTCTGAGGAGATGGGGGTAGCTCTCTCTGGCCTCTCCTGCCTGCCTGGGTCTGGCACTGCCTCTTGATGGTGTATTTATGGCATCATTTGGGTTGGGAAAGACCTCCAAAATCATTGGCACCAACCTTTGACCAATTACAGTCTTGTGCAGTAGACCAGAGCACTGAGTACCACATCCAGTTGTTCCATGAGCATCTCCTGGAATGGTGACTCCACCACCACCCTGGGCAACCAGTTTCAATCCTGACCACCCTTTCAGTGAGGAAATCCTTCCTCATATATGATCTGAACAGGATTTAGGGAGGATTTGTTCTAAAATTTGACTCAGCTCACTGTGTTTGTAGACACTGACTGTTTATAGATGTTCTGTCCCAGAGAGCCCCTCTCCATGTCTGCAATTGCAGGTTTACAGTGGTTGGAAAAGAGATTGAGCTTGGAGGTCTTTTTCAATCTTTTCCATCTCTAATTGCTAAGTTACAGTGAGTAGGCAATGTGTGAGTAAGGCTGAGGGGTGAGAGACAGACACGTGTCCCTTGGAGGTGCCAGGATTGTCACTCCTGACCAGCACTGTCACTGTGAAGCTCTGTGCCAGCTCTGACCCTGCACCAGCTTCCTGGAGCTCAAGGATCTGGCTGGGATCAGTTCCTGCAGCTGCATATTGGAATTATCAGGTCGTTAAAGCAGAACTTGTGCTGCCAAAGGAGTTTACAGTGTCCTCTTGGAGCCCAGAGTGCAGGTTGCTGTGACAGGGTTTCCCACAAGTGTCAGGGCTCCTCTGAGGTCTGATCTGCTGCAGTCCAGAGCACTTCTCTTAATCCACCTCCACCCAGACAGCCTGCACTGAACCCCTTCTGATGTTCCTGTGAAGGACACCTTGGCCACCTGTGTTTCTTTCCACAGTTACATGGACACAGAGCAGTATGAAGATGCTGTAAGAGACTATGAGAAGGTTTATCAGACAGAGAAAACAAAAGGTGAGCACAAGAGCACTCTGTGTGTGCACAAGTTTCCCTGAACTGGTAATTTTTTTGTTGTTCCTTTTTTCCACCCACAATATGCTGTGATTTGCAGCCTAATACCCCAGCAGGACAATTTGGAAAAGCCCTCAGAAGCACTGGAAATCCGTGTCTCTGGTCTGGTTTCTCTGCCAGCTCTGAATGCTGAGGTGATAATTCAACTTGTGTGTGAGGCAGTGCACTGGGTTCAGAATGTCTGGTTTTGGTTCCTGTCTTGACTGTGCCCTTGCTTTTTGAGTGGCCTGAAGTGGAAAGGATGGTGTAACTCCTCCCCTGGTGTTGTGCTCCTTTCCAGAACACAAGCAGCTCCTAAAGAATGCACAGGTGGAACTGAAAAAGAGCAAAAGGAAAGACTACTACAAAATCCTGGGGGTGAACAAAAACGCCTCTGAAGATGAGATCAAGAAGGCTTACAGGAAACGAGCACTAATGCACCATCCAGGTACCCCCAGCTGTCCTTACGTGCCCTGTGCAGCCATCACTGAGGCACTAATGTGCGTGGAAGAGGGAATTTCTGGGAAATAGCAGCTCTGACCCCAAATATCTGGAGATGATCTGGGAAGGAGTGTTTAACATTATCCATTTGCACTAGGAATTAAAAGTTTTTTCTGCTTGTTGTGTATCCCCAGACCGACACAGTGGAGCAAGTGCAGAAGTACAGAAGGAAGAGGAGAAGAAATTTAAGGAGGTTGGTGAAGCCTTCACCATCCTGTCAGATCCCAAGAAGAAGGCCCGCTATGACAGCGGGCAGGACTTGGAAGAGGATGGATTAAACATGGGAGGTCAGTGTTCTTTACAACACTCTGCAGCCTGCCACAAGATCAGACCCTTTAGAATCTGCCTAAAGCAAGCCTGCTGCTGGGAATGGTTCCATGAATTTACTTGGTTTAGTCCCTGACAACATTGGCATGAGCTGAGTGGTTGCAGCTGGGAGCAGGCTGGGACACTGCTGGGTGTTGGCTCAGCTGGTGGGCAGTAGCTGCCATGGGGCAGAAATCTGTCACAGGATGTGGTAAAAAGCCATTGTGAGTCCCTAAATGCTGCTTATCCAGATCCTTGGGCTGCCCTGTGGCAGGTTCTCTCTGGGACAGCTGCTTTACCTGTTTGTGGTCCCTACATGGCCCCAGGTGCTGGGAGCCAGCCCTGTGTCCCCTTCTGAGACACTCTGGAGCCTCAGTGAGCTGACAGCTCCTGAACTGTGGGAATGTGATGGCTGTTTCTCTGCAGCTCATGAATTCCTTCTCTTCCCTGTAGAATTTGATCCAAATAACATCTTCAAGGCCTTCTTCAGCGGGCCAGGGGGCTTCAGCTTTGAAGGTAGGTGAGATGTTCTCCTCCAGCCGTGGAATCGTGAGTACACAGATCCCCTGGCAGGGCAGCTGGGGCTCCCAGTGGATGTGCTGCTGCTTCAGGAGAGCGTTTGGCTGTTGCACAAATCCAAGAGCTCTTTCCAAGTTCTGCCTGCACAGTGTCAGCTGGTTCTGGTTCTTCTGGGTTCCAAAGCCACGAACTTGGGCACTCCTCATTCTGGAGCTGTGTGTGGGCTTGGCCACCCATGTGCTGCTTAGGATTACACTAAACCAATTTCGATTTGAAAAGTCCTGATTATCTTCCATTTTCTTTTTCAGCTTCTGGGCCTGGAAATTTCTTTTTCCAGTTTGGCTAAGAAGCAAACAAACACAAATCAAACCACACATACCTGATCTGCTTCTTTTAACCTCGAATACGGACAGCCCCAGACTCCTCCTCCATCACGTCTCGTTGTCCTTAGAGCAGTTTCATTTCTGGGTTGGAGCCTCTGTTTGTGTGTTGTGTGTGTGAAGAGGAAACCAGCTCGGGAGGGGAAGGCTTGTGAATTTTGTTTTACTGTTAACTTTATTAAAAAAAAAAAAAAAATAAAGCTTTGAATCTTTTGGTCCCTCCATGCTGGCCCGTGCTTTCAGCTGCTTCTGCCCCTCAACACGAAGGATTTCCTGGAATCTTCCCAGAATCTCCACGTGTGTGAGGGAGAAAGAATTCCTGGTTTGTTCTGGTTGCTTCCAAAGCAGCATGTCCAGGGTTTGGAGTAACTTGTAAGTTATGTTAATCGTTTGGAAATACTGCCAAGGCTCAATCCAGTTTTGTACAATCCCATTTCACCTGCAAGCCTGGCTTCTTTGCTCTTTTTATTTCTTTTTTTTTTTATTTTTTTCCATGGTTCTCCCAGCAAGGCCCACTTGGGCATTAAACTTCTGTGATAACATGTGAGCTTACAATTCTGTATCAGAGAAATGCTGCTTAGAGTTCAAAGAGCAGCTTATGTGAGAATTCCCTGTGATGCAGCTGGAATTAAGGGCTTTGTGTTCCCAAGATTGTCCTGTTTAAGGGAATATTGAATTTGCTCTGGGCTGAATTCCTTCACTGTACTTTTTTAAATTAATCCACTTGAATATTTTATATTTGTGCTAAACTTGATTTTGTTGAGCTTGATGTGTGATTTCCTGTTACTGATCCATGATGTGGGTGAGTCTTTCAATGCCAAGTGAATTCCAGGCAGGGATCCTGGGTGGTTTGGGATGTGCAGCAGCTGTGTGTTTAGTTAACCTGGCTGAGTGGTTTTCCTCTGGCAGTGATTTACTCCTCCAAAGCAGCAAGAAAATGCAAAGTCCAGCTCTGAACTGGCAGTCTGTTCTTTCTCTTGTGCAGTGTCAGGACAGGAGCTGGAGGGATGGATGAGCTTCTGGCCTGGAGCTGTGTCCTGGTGGGTTTGGTGTGGGGCACTGCCTGTTAGCAGTTTGATTTTCACCTGAAAGGTGGTGTTACAGCAGGGTCTCAGCTGGGGGAGAGCTCTGCTCCTGGGATTCCCCCCTTTTCTCCACAGCATGGGCAGCACCTTCTTGTCCAGGTGCCCTGTGTGAGCTCCTGTCTGAGGGTTCTGGAGCCTGGTGCTGTCAGGCCCAGTCCCAGGAGGTTGTGCTCAGCCTGGGATGGGAGGGGAGCAGTGGGGCCGTGGCTGGGGGTCCTGGGCTGGTGCTCAGTGAGGAGCAGAGGGGCTGTGGCCAGGTCCTGGGCTGACCCTGGCAGTGTGGGGCCGCTGGAGGCTGGAGTTTGCTCAGAGAACGGGTGTTTGTGAGAGAGAACCTCCCAGTGACTCTGTGTAACAGCTGCTTTGCCTTCCCGCAGCACAGCAAGCACTGCAGGGAGCTCATTGCTCGAGGTGATCACTCGGAGTGCCAGGTCTTTGTCTTCCTCCCGAGGGCTGGGTGTGCCCTCCAGCAGGACAGGGACTGGCGCAGGACCACGAGGTCCCAGCGCTGTCGTGGTCCTGCTGTGGTGTTCGGTCAGGATTCTTGACAATCTGCTTTCACAGAGGGAAAATTTAAGGGCTTAAATTTTAGCACTGCAGAATAACTCGTTTGAAACTCAGCTTTCTAAGTGAACCAGGGCTGAGTAATACTTTCAAAACCCAACTCTCCCACGTTTGATCTGCCATCCTTCACACCAGTGTGAGGGATGGACCCACCCAGGTGCACCCAGAGCAGCTGGGGCCTGGCACTTTTCAGGCTCTGAAGTGGTGAATACGTGGGGAACTGAAATACTGGTCTATGCACACTGATGCTTCCCCAGCTTTCCTGGCACTGTAATCTGAGTTTACAAGAGTTTAGTGGAATTTTGGTTCCATGACATCTCGTCCTGTGTGTTTGTTGATGTCACTGTACAGTTTGGGCTGTTCTCAGTGTCTCATTGCTGAGCAGAGCCATGTTCTGTGTCTGTCAGTGGGTTTATTCTCATTTTCCCCTGCCCCAGGGAAGTGTGACCAGCTTCCTTCCTCCCTTCCTTCTCTCTAAGCTGACTGAGCCCGTTCCTTGGAGCACAGGAGTGGAATGGCTCTGCTTCTGGGAGAGAAAATGTATACAGCAGCTATTTATAACCTGTACATGAATGCATGATTTAATGTAGTTAAATATTCATATGGTGAGTGCCAAGACTTTCTACAGCACGTGAATCAAGGTGAAGGCAAATGCATGGAACCATGGAATGGATTGGGCTTGAAGGCCTTTAAAGGCTGTCAAGTCCAACCCCCTGCCATGGGCAGGGACACTTCCCACTAGCCCAGAGTGCCCCAGGACCTGTGCAGTCCCTGTTCCCCCTGGCACAGAGCAGGGCTGAGCAGGGCTTGGTGGCACCTGGCACCTCAGGGCAGCAGCAGTGTCCAGTGGCACTGTGACCTCCACCGTGTCCCAGCACGGCTTGGGGAGACAAAACTCTGCATTTTCCAAAAAATGGACTCAGCTGTGCATTGCTTGGAGTGTTGCCTCCACACATGGTGGTTCCAGGACATTGTCCAGGGGTCGTGCTTGGGTGTAGCTGCAGGGGAGCTGAGTGCCAGTGCTCCAGCTGCTCACAGCCCTCCTGTGTGTCCTGCAGCCCCAGGGGGGCCACTGGCTGCAGGGATTTGCCACAGAGACCACAAATGAGCATCTTCAAGAGCTGCTGTGCCCGTGCTGTTCCCAGAAGGACAGAGAGCGCACAGAGGTGCAGGAGGTGGGCTGTGGTGGCATGGACACGCTTTGGTGTGACTCTCAGCCTGGCAGCTCCTGCCTGGGCTCTCCAAGGGGGAATGGCTGGTGCTGTGAGAGCTGCTGCCAACAAGAAGGGCCTAGAAAGAGCAGAGGTGCTGTGGCTGAGAGCCAGACCAGGCTGGTGTGGCAGGGGACATCTTCCACCGGCCAAGTTGGGAGAAGATGGTCTGAGCAGCTCGAGAGCTGGCAAGTGGCTGTCAGCTTCCCTGGGAAAGTTGTGAAGAGAAGTGTGTGAGGAGTGTGGCTGTGGGCAGAGCTGGCATGTGGGGGCTCTGCTGTAGGACTGCAGTTTTGGCAAGGAGATCAGGAATTGTGTGGCTGTTAGGCTTTGCCTTGGATGTGGTTTTGTCTGGCCATGCTCAGAGTTTGGGTTGGAAAGCTGTGAAGTCCATTCAGGAGGTTCTGGCCACCCTCTTAAGGTTCTTCATTGCTTTGGCTGCACTAAAACCTACCTGATTTGGTTTTGATCCTGGGAGCGTTCAGTGAGCAGGATCCCCAGTGCTGCTGGCTGTTGTAAATGCAGAAATGCAAGTTGGAAAATGGGAGAAAGACAAATTGTTCAGGTACAAGAGTATTATCCATGGAATAGCAGGCCCCTCAACTCTCTGTACCTGCTGAGACAGAGTGGATGCTGCTGTGCTGCTGTGTGTGTGACATGGAGGCTGGTGCCAGTTCCTGTGCAGCCACACTGGCCCTGGACCTGCAGCCATCAAACAGCCACAGGGCTGGGCCACGTGCTGCTTTGCCATTTCCAAATGACCTCCTCAGTTTCAGTAATAACTCCAGCTATTCTCTTATTTCTAATGGATGGTTTTCATCCTGTTTAAATTCGTGCCTTGTCCTTTCCCCTCCTTTTCCCTAGGGAACAGGACAACTGTGTGCTGCACCCACCCTGGAGCAGTGCTAGTCCCTTCGCAGCTGTGGCAGGGCTGTGGCAGGGGTAGGTGGCAATAGCTGGTGGCTGTCCCTGCCCTTGGCTCTGTGGGGCCATTCTGGGTCCCTGCATGACTGTGGGAGCTGATGTGAAACACTTTGGCCTTCCTGGCCAGGCCCAGCTCTCCCCACTCCCACCGTCATGGATGGGGTTATCCCTTCTTGGAGCAGTGCTGGGCGTTTTCCCTCACGCAGATCCGAGCTTGGAGGGACAGTTCTGCTCTGTTGCTGGGAGCTGGGACACTGCACCCGAGCTGGAGCTCAGGGCTGGCCCGGCAGGGCAGGATCCTTGGGGAGCCCAGCAGGACGAGCAGCCCTGCTGCCATGCCAGCCCGACTGCCCAGCCCTGTCCCCAGTGTCCCCTAATGGCTCCTGTGAACAGTGTGGGTGAGGCAGCATCCGAGGGGCCGCGGGGGGAGCACCCAGAGCCCCCCAGTGCACGTGGGTCACAACTTTGTGGATTAGTCAGGACAAACCCAGGCACCGATGCGAAGCCACTTGGAGAGGAGCTTGTCCCTGTGCTGCCGTATTTATCTGAATTGGAATTCGGAATGTTTACCTCAGTGTACATAGCTCAACCTTTCCCTGGGGGGAAAGGGGAATTGCATGGAGCAATCGCTGTCCCATTGCTTTGCCAAACTCCTCATCCTCTCCCAGCCGGGCTCCGCATCGGTACCAGCTGTCCCTCTTGGACCTTTCTAGGATGTGAATGGTAAAAATGTGAATATTTGTTGTTTACTTCCTTAGCAGAACTCCTGATGCCGTGTTTGTATGGGAAATCAGCCTGAGCAGACCCATATGCAATCGGTTTTACTTTATTATAAACTGTATATGATGTACAAACTAATAAAAACTCAAACGACGACAATGTCACTGTTGTTCTTGAACAGGCAGATGAAGGAGATATTCCAGCTGTGTATTCCAATGCTGGAGTGATCTGGGCACTGGGGGTGTGGGCTCAGGCAGCCCCTGAGCAGGAGCTGGCAAATCCCTTGTAGAGCTTTGGTGGAACAAACCCTTGAGGTTCTGTCAGGAGAGGCCCTGGCTGAGCGTTGGGCACTCAGCTGCTGCCAGTATGGAAGGCTGGAGGGATTTCTCCAAGAAGGGTCACAGGTGCTCTGGGTGGGTTTATAGCTCACTATTTTATGGTATAATGAGAATTTATTCTTATCCTTTGCTTCTGATCAGCAGGAAGTATTTTGTGTTTGGTACCACAAAAGCTCCAAAGCTCTCCCTGCTTTTGGCCTCAACAGTCAGAGAGAAATGCTCCTTGCCCCAGCAACATTGGACTCGGGGTGAGCTGTGCCCAGCCCCAGCCCAGCCCACGCCTCAAACACAGTCAGTATTTACAGTGTTAGTTGGGTTAATGTCACTCTGCTGCTCCCCAGACCCTGAGCCAGGGCAGGAGGTCGAGCTGGGACCTTACCTGGGGCTGTTAGTGGAGCTTTGTGTTAAACCATGCCCAGGAGCTGGGCCAGGGCCTGGCAGAGCACAAACCCAGGTTGCAATAAAACACATTTAATGACACAAGTGCTGGGTCAGTAACTTCCAGCTGGGGTTTAGGTTCGAGCAGACGTGAGTTACAAGGTTACAGTGCCTCCACTTCTTACACTACAGGGTTACTCCAGCCTAACTCTTAACATTCAAGTGCATTAGAGGAAGGGAGTAAAATCTTGCATGAAGTCCAGTTGTGTACTTCAGACATGATTTTAGTTTCTATCAAATAAGATGGAAAAGATGTTAGTTCATCTCTTCCACTCCCTGCCAAGGCAGGATTGTTCCCTACAGGACAGAGGATGGTGCTTGGTCCAGCCCAGGTGGAGGGAATTGGCTCCCTGTCCTGGTGTTTCACTTGATTTCCCCAAAGTTGGTGTCTTTAAGGCATCACCTGGCACAGTGCCCTCCTCCTGGCTGTCCCCAGAGCATCTGTGCTGTGAGGGACCAGAGCTGGGATGGAGCCCACTGGGCAGCTGCGATTAGGGCTGCCAGGACCTGCTGCCCTCAGCAAGGGCTGTCCTTAGGGGCCAAACCCTTGGTAAGGACAGGACTGCTGACAGGAGTGACCCACGCCTGGGTCTCGCTAGTTCTGACCCTGTAATCAGCTGCCAGAACGGCCAGTGTCAGTCCCTGGGTGTGGGAGGGGAGGGACATCCTGCAGTTCCCTTGGCTTCAGACCAGCGACTGACAGGCTTTGGTCAGTGCCAGCAGGTACAGATCGAACGATTGTGGTTCAGAGGGAAGCAATAAAAGCCCCAGAGTTGATCTTTCTCCAAGGAAGAAAACAAGCAGAACGCCCCAGCAGGTTCCCTCCAAAACTCACATTAAAATCCGTGACAGTTTCAGTCAAGAGTTGCTTGTTTTCTTCCTTTGCTGAGGCTGATAACTCCCCAGAGGCTTCACGCTGGGGTGGGCAGGAGGGTTGACTTTAGTAAAGGTAGAATTATTTCTCTTTACACTTTTAAGGTTACAGGAGTTACTTGCCTTTTAAAAACAAACCGAGGAGCTGCCCTGCCTGTGCTCCTAGATGATGGTGCAGGAGCTAAAGGCAGCGCCCCGTTTGTTGGTGCTCTGCGTGGGCACGAGCTTTCCCTTCCCGTAGTACCCCGAGAATATCGCCCTCACATCAATCTTTTTAGACAGGACAAGCATCCACATACCATTATCAAAATACAGCAGTTTCCCTCCTCCAATTTCCCCCACTTGCTCCCCTTTGTTCCCTGCCTTTTCCAGCTTCACAAACTCCAGCAGGTCGAGCCCCGTCTGCACGGCTTCGACGCCGTTGGCGCAGCCCAGGGTGATGTGGGCCCGGCTGCCCCGCGGGAGGTTGTCCGTGGGCAGGATCTTGTCAGCATCCCCGGGCCAGAGCAGCAGCTGCTGCTCGCTCAGCTCGATGCGAGCCCCGACAGTCTTTGTGGTGATGAACAGCGCCGAGATGGAGAGGGTGAAGCCTTTGCCGTAAGAAGACTTCACGGCCTGGAGGAGAGGGACACACACACGGGACAGTGTTAGTGCCTGTGGGGGGGATTCACTGTCCCCAGGTTTGGGGACAACGTGGCTGCTCGTGGCAGCTCTTGCTGTGACATAGGCAAAATACCCAGAGCAAGGAGAAGGTCAGTGCCTGATGTCCCAGCTCTGTGGATCTGGAGCTGGTAATGTCTTTGTCCTTCACAAATTCCAATATTTAACCTGGGTTTATGTGCTATGAAATAATTGATCTGGGGATCTAAATACCTCAATTCATCATCGTTCAGTCAAGCTGTCAGAGATGATGCTGGAAGTCATGTCTGATTGGGGAAAGTGGGAGCGTTTTGTTTGGAAATAGGAAATAAAATCACCGTATCCACAGTTTGGAGTTTTCTCTGCACAGGCCACGTGGATGTAGTTCCTGTCCCTATATTTGGCCTCTTGGGTCAGATCAAAGCTATTCCCAACCCTCTCCCAGACTCATGGACACCCCAAAGGGGAGGGAGGGGACATGGGGGTGTGGGGAGGAGGTGGGACCCCAACACTCACTTCCTGCTGCGCATATTCCTCAGCTCCAGCTGCTTTTCCAAACTCAGTGTATTTCGTGGTGCAGTGCAGGACCCCAGGTGGCCTCTTCACAAAGTAGCTGGTGAGATCTATTTTTATTTTGGGATCTTCGATAGCAGAAGGAACTGCAGATATAGGTAAACAACGTCACTGTCACAAAGTGATCCCCCTGAGGTCAACCCACGAGCCCTGGTGCCATCTCAGCTCCCTTCCCTACCTCAGCCTTCACATCTCATTGACTGCTGGGTGGGAAACCAAACCCCTCCCTCCTCCCAGGCTCACTGCAGATGGAGCCAAAAACCAGAAACTCCTGTGCATCATCGTGGCTCATCTTAAACCTGGTGGTTTGTTCAGCCTTTCCCATTTCTCTCCCTTTGCCTTTTTCCCACCCAACCCCTTGGAACCAGGGGACACCCAGGATCCCATGTCCTGCTGCTGCCACCTGAGCTCAGTGCCCTGTGGGGCCAGACCTAAACAGACTTGGGAAAAGCTCTTTATTTTTACTTATAAAAGCAACTTTGTCAACTATGAACACCAGGTTAGTAGCTTTAAAAAGCTTTTCTTGTTGGCAGTGTTAGAAATTGACTTTAGAAGCTAATCAGACTCGTTAACATCAGCAGGTAAGAATGTGGTAAGAGAACATCAATACATACAGTATTTACTCTCCTTTTTGAAGGCTTTGAGACTCCCAAGCTCATCCAAGAATGCCTGGCCAGCCTTCCTCAGGATCTCCGAACTTCTTTTGCTCAAAAACCACCCAAAATACATGGGGAGGAATTCCTTCTCTAAGCTTGGCTTCATCTTCTTCAGCTCTTCCACAGACAGTTTCCATTGATTCTTGTCCTTTAGCTGGGGACAATCCAAGCGCCACGGGGTTTTGGGCTCGGCGAAGATGACTTTGTAGCGGTACTTGTCAGCAATGTCAAAGAGCTGGTCCAGCCGCTCCCGCTCGTGGTGAGTGTCATCCAAAACAATGACGCTGATCTCCCGTTTGCAATAGTCAACTAGATCCTCATCCACCTTGGAGTACTCTTCGGGAATGGAGCTTCTTATTAATGGTGTAATTTTATAGTGATCAACGGAGATGACCTTGCAGGCGTCTTTGTAGCGGTCGTGGATGGCCTGGGCGAGGGTGGACTTCCCACTGCCAGGCAGGCCCCGCAGGATGAAAAAGGTTTTGGATTCTTTCAGCGTGGAGATGGTGTCTTCGTCGTCCAGGAACGGGAAATGCAAACTCTCGGGTCTCTCTTTCGCTGATTGAGTAGACATTTTTCTAAATATTTTAGGCAGGAAAGGGTGACTCTTCTTGGAGAAACCTCTGTTCTGAAATGGAAGGAGAAAACACTTTGCAGGGCAGGAACCCCAGAGACAGTGTGGCCCTGCTGGGACCTTTAGTGGAAAGGATGGGCACAGGGAGCATCTCCCCCACACTGCCTCACTTGGGTGCCCTGCTCAGCTGACACCTTCTCCCACAACTGCTCTGCCTGGTTGCACAGCAGGAATCCACTGCATCCCACCCAAGGGCTGAAGGTTCAGCCCTGCTCCCCGCTCTGGCCTCGGCAGCTGCAGTCCTGCCCCACTAGGAAGGGGTTTTTCAGGCTGCCACAAAGCCCCAGCCCGGGCAGAGCTCCTCATGTGGCACATTTAGTCTGAGCAGTTGAACAAACACCTGTGGCTGCCGGATGCGAGGGCAGTGAGCCCTGGAGGAGCCCAGGGGGAAATGAAAGTCCCAGCAGGCTGAGAGCTGCCACACTCCTGTCCCTTCACCTGAATCACAAACTGTTCCCAGGCTGTTTCCTAGAGCAGCACAAGGATGGTGCTGTCTGTCAGGATCAGCTGAGCGCCTCACAGGAGGGAATTTGGGCTCCTCTTGGGAAGAGCAACTGAGACGGCTTCCAGGAAAGCCAAACTCCTCCCAGCAGCTGCAAGGCAGAACTCGAAAGTGAAACCTCGAGTGCTGGAGGAAATGAAACACTCGTGGCTGGCACAGCGAGCGGGAGATGCCTCTGGGAGCTGGCATGGCTGTCCCTCCCCTCCTGCCAGCAGCTTCGGTTAGTGGAATCCCAGATTAATTCCCAGTAGACCTGGGAAAACACGGGACTGAAAGGAAACGTGGGATTTCTTCAGCTGTGCAAGTCCTCAATGGCATCAACGAGGCAGACATTGTTTGTTGGGTCAATACATGAACTTTCCATCCCCCAGCTGCCTGTGGGCCAGCCCAGCCTGGGATCCAGTGGACCGTGGGAGTGATGCCCAAGGAGTGAGTTTTGCCTTCGATGCAAAAATCGAGAAGTTTTACATAAAACATAACTGCTCTGCCTGGCCCAGAAAAATGTTTCCATTTTGCAGTTTTTAAAAGATACTTTTCAGATGTTGATTTCCTCATCTCTTTATTCCAGAAGATGCAGCTGGGTTTTGGTTCCAAATGCTCTGGGAGCAGGAGCAGGACCCCACATTTCCCACGGGCACTGCCTGCCCTGGGCTCAGCTGCAGCCTCACACCCAGCCGGGGACAAACTGAGAGCAGCAGGGACCTGTGGGCTCCCCGGCGACCCCCGTGCTGCTTTCCCCGCACACTCGGGGCTCAAAGTGCTCACACAGGAGGAAGCCGGTGAGTTACCTGCAGCGCTGCTCCTTCTCGCAGCCCCGGGCCGGGCTGTCCCCGCACCGGGCTGTCCCGCGGGCGGGGACCGGGGCCGCTGTTCTGCCGCGGCAGCTGCCGAGGGGACTGAGGCGCTTTTCAGCCCCGTGAACAAAGGAACAATCGCGGCCCCCCCGGACCATTGTTCGCCGCCGGCTCGGGGACAACGGGCGCCTTCACGGGCCGGGCCGGGCGGACAAAGGCTCCGCAGAGCCCGGGGCAGCGGGGTCTGGCCGGACAATCTCCCATTGAGCCGGGCCGGCCCCCCCGCCGCCCCCACAAAGCTCCCGCTTGTCTCCCGCTCCCCACGGAACGGGGGCTGGCGTGGAGGGAGCCATCGCTCCCGGTCCCGAGCTGCCCGTGCCCCGGCAGCCCCCAGAGTGTCCCGGGACCCCCGGACGGAGCCACGGGCCCCGGGGCCGTTCTCGGGGCCCGGTTGGCTCCGCGCACCCGCAGACCCAGCGCCCACATGTCGGCAACGCCGCCGGCGCTCCGGGAAATCGGAACCTTTGCCGGGAGGAGCTGCAGTCCGGTCCCGATCCTAGTCCTGATGCTAGCCCCGATGTTAGTCCCGATCCTAATCCCCATCCCGCTGGTCCCGCTTACCATGGTGAGGGCAGCGGCTCCGGGGCGGCCGCCGGTGCGGAGCGGCGCGGCGGGGAAGCGGCTCTGGGGCGGGCGCGGCCGCGGCTCCTTTCATAGCCCCGGGACTCGCCCGCCCCCGAGGGCCGGGCCGAACCCTCCCCGGGGCGGCGGGGGGGCCCCGGGGCTCAGCCCCGCCCGGCCGGGGAGGAACCAGTCCCGGGGATGCTGCCGGGACAGTCCCGGGGCCGGGGGAGGCTCGGACCAGCTCCTTCCCTGCTAGGGACACACCGCTCCAGTGCTGGGTACGACGCTTGCTCAATATTTATTTCAACTTCCCGCCTAGGCTCTACTTTTCCCCACTGCATTTCTCCCCTTCCTTGTCCGTTTCTCCCTTTTAACGTTTCCGTCTGTTTATGCATCGTTTCTGGCTTCCTCTTACGGCTTTTTATCTCAATTCTCTTTCTCCTCCTCTTCCACATTATCAGTGGTGGTTTTTATGCTTTCACTGCTGAAAAGGCGATCTGGGAAGGGAAAAGGAAACTTAAGCCAAGTCCTAGAACTCAGCAGCTGGACACAAGAAAGGCCCCCGGGCTCCCTTACCCTCACCAGGAATCTCTCACTGCCCTCCAGGTCCTGGGCTGCACTGAGGGCAGCTGCGGGCACAGCGCCCTGCCAGGACCTTCCCCGAAGCCCAGGAGGGTTGGGGCAGGGCCGGGCTGTCGGTGACACCGGGCCAGCCTGCAGGGGACACTCTGGGAGCGCTGCTGTCCCTAAGCTGGGCACGGCCGGAGCTGGGAGAGCAGCTGAAGCAATCCTGGACCTCCACCAAGATTTTAATTCAATACTTGCAAGGAAAGGGGTGCTGTGGGAATTCTAGGGTGCTGCTGATGTGCAGAAGGGGAGAGTGGGGTTTTTTCCCATTTTTGGGCGCAGAGGTGTGAACAACAAGTACCTTCACGTGAGGAAATCATTCCATCTTCATGGCCTTTGTTCAGTTCTGCAATGAAGCTTTTGCTCACGTTATCCAAGGCCTGAAAGGAATGAAGTTCTTAACAAAAGCCCCAGAAATGCAGCTACATACCCAACATTTTCCTGTTTTCTTTTGCTGTCTGCTATCATTACCAAATCCTTTCCTACTGTAAAACTGCATTTTCCTGGCATTACCGGCTGGAGAATCCCAGCTGGGATAACAGCTACTCACAGAGGCTGCCCACAGCTCCTCCTCCCCTCAGCAGCCCTCTTACCGCAATGATGCCATTTTGAGCAGATTCACTGGGCACAAGCCTTGCCTTCTCCAGAGCCCTTTCAAAATTCAGGATTGCAGACCGGTAATCTTTCAATTTCACTGGAACAGACAAGGATATCAGCTGGTTCAGCCCAGGATCAGGAGAACAGCAAGAAGTAATCAAGCCAGTCTTGATCTCAGCTGTTACTTTGGCTGTTAAATCCTAGAGATGTTTTCAGACCAGCTTCTCCACCCTGAAAGTAAAACCTGTGCCCACATCTTTACCTTGTGCCTGTGCCACCAGCACGGTGGCATGGAGCTGCCACTCCACATCTCCCTCTTCTTCTGCTGACTGCAGGGACTTCTGGCCATAATCTTGGGCTACTTCAGCTTTATCCAGCTCGAGGTAGCACCGCCCAATTTCATGGAACAGCCAGGCCTTCTCCAGGCTGGACTGGGCCAGTGGAATCTTCTCCTCCCAGCTTCGAGCAGAGTAAGACAGACAAACCTTTACCAACCCTCACTAGGTACAGTTACAACTCAACCACTGATTTGATAGCAAAGGGTTCAGGTGTGAAAATTTCCCCAGGCCTGGCTGCAGGGAGAACACACAACTGAAAAACCACGGCCTGGGTCACTCCAACCCCTGCTGCCTCTGCTGCTGGGCTGTACATACGTGTTGATGGCCTGCTGGAACTTGCCAGTTCGGGCGTACACGTGGCCGATGTTGTCCAGGGCCCGGGACACGGCGTCTGTCAGAGTGCTGAGACAGGGAGACAAAGGGATTGTGGCACTGACATCCTCCTGTTCCTCACTCACTCTGCGTTTCTTCATGGTCCCCTTGGTGCTCCCCATGCCCTCAGAGAATTGTTAGGAAGTAAAGGGCACAGGTCAGGCTGAAAGTCATGAAATCAAGTTTGATTTTTGATTTTATCTACAGCTCTGGCAGCTGACCCCATGAGACACAGGGGAAATGGTTTCACTTTGCCTTTGATTATTATTAATTTTTGTGCAAATCTGGCAGCCCTTGGGAAAGTCTTTCCCCTTTTCTTTGCCTCTGTTTCCCTTTGTGGGAACAACTCATGGATGATTTCTGTTTTTCAAAGCAAAGACACAAAAAGGTGTCTGCAGGCTCCTGACACCAGCCCTGATCCTGTGCTTGGACCGAGCTTTGCTCCATGCTACAGGCAGCTCCTTCTGCAATAAAGCCCTGTGGGTTTTAATTTTTTTCTTAATTATCCTCCTTCTCATCTTCAGAAGCAGCTTTGCCTACCCTTACCTCAGAGATGGAAATGCCTGTGCGAGGAGCAGATAAATGCCATGGGAGTCATGGAATCACAGAGCGGTTTGGGTGGGAAGGGACCGTAGGGATCACCCAGCTCAAATCCCCATCACGGGGTCATTAACGCGAGTAATTAACGAGTCATTAGCGGCGTCTCCAGCGGCAGCCGCCAGAGAGCGCAGCCCGCCCGTCACCGCCGGTCCTTCACCGCACCCCGGGTTAGCGGGGTCCCAAAGCCGGCATCTCCTCCCCCTCTCTCCTGCTAATTCCTGCCTTTACCCGGGCTGCTCGGGGAGTGCGACCACCAGGAGACAGGCAGCCTTTTCCTAAACCAACATTCACTTCCAAAAGGATTTTTGAAAATGAGAAACAACCACTCAGTGACATTTGAAAAGCTCAGAGCACTACTGCCAAAAAAGTCCTAAATCACTTCAAGGCACTGTTCCACGATTTCTGATATGATTTGCAAACTCTTGCTACATCTAAGACTACGTTTTGCTCCATTTTGTTCAGCTGGAAGAGCCGTGGGATGTGTCTGGTGCAGACAGCTAAGTGCACCTGGAAGGGACCTTTATTTCAAGCCATGCTTAATGGTCTCTATGAAAAGAAGTTTAAAACAAAATGTAGCAGAAAACTGGAGCAATTTCAACCCTGATCTTCCTGAGAAGAAAGTACCTGCTCAAGATTAAAGTGCTGAGACTGGGACTTGTGTTCTTTTGCTTTGCTACAGAAGAGGTTTTGATGTGCCCTGTGCTGTGGGTCCTTAAAAATCTGCTTCAGGTTCCTTATTTTGAAATAGTGAAGATAAAAAGTTACCACAGACCCTAATACTTGTGCAGAGCTGAATGTGTAACCCTTTTAAACCTCCCAGGTGAGAATTCCTTTACCTAATGCTAAAACACCCCCAGAGAGGCATTTTCCCCTTTCTCCACCCACCTGAACTTCCCAGAACTTACTTCTGCCTGGCACAATCCAGATCCATCTTATGGCTGCGCAAAGCTGCCTCCATCTGCCCCATTGCCAACTGTGCATCCCCAATGCGGCTGTGGAGGTTCCCAATCAGCTCATTCTTGTTGGGAACTTCATCCTCTGACCAGGCTTGTATCTTTTTCAGCAGACGCTCAGCTTTCCTGCAGCTTTCCTCAGCGGAACCTCTGGCCAGCACTGGGGACAGGGAGCAGAGTTTGACACTGGGGTGTGACACAGAGACATGGAGAAGTTGTGAATTCCCCATCCCTGGAGGTGTTCCAGACCAGGCTGGATGGGGCTTGGAGCAACCTGGGACAGTGGAAGGTGTCCCTACCCACGGTAGTGGGGTGGAACAGGATGAACTTCAAGGTCCCTTCCAACCCAAACCATCTTGGGATTCTGTTACTCGGGAACTGAGACCTGGTGAAGCGGCTAACCCTCAGCCAAAGCTCAGGAACAGACCTCCCCACAACAGTGGGAAGCACTCAGCTTCCAGCCAGGAACCTACTCAGCTCAATATCCTCCACCTCCTTTGCGATGGCTCTGGCGATGTCGGACGGTTTCTGTCTCTTGTCGCGCGCGCGGCCCTGCCGCAGGACCTTGCGCTCGTACAGCCGCGCGTACATCGGCTTCTGCTGCTGCCAGAAGTCCCGCCGCTGCTTCAGGTAGGAGATGCCACCCAAAACCAGGTCCACGACTTTGACCCCCTGCCTTGTGCTGCTCTGCATCAAGTCTGGGAATAAGATAAGGTAGAACCCAGGTGAGAATCAGCAGATCTGAGCTGCAGCTCAGTGGGGAATTGATTGGGAATGCTGTTCTGACAAAGACAGTCCTGGACATGGAAGTGTCCCCTGCTCCTCAGAGCTGAGGTGATGATGGGGGAGCTAACAATAAACTCTGTGGCATTCACATTTTCTGAAAAATCTCTTCAACCAGGATTTTTCTCCTGGGAGTTGGGAACGTTTTTCTGTTCTGACACAGACAGTCCTGGACATGGAAGTGGCCCCTGCTCCTCAGAGCTGAGGTAATGGGGGAGCTAACAATAAACTCTGTGGCATTCACATTTTCTGAAAAATCTCTTCAACCAGGATTTTTCTCCTGGGAAGCTGAGAAGCCTTCAGAGAAAAAGGGAAACAACTATTATCTCACTTAATTATCCTGTGTTTTGCTTGTCTGGAATGTGTTTGGAGATTGTTTACCCACAGGTGATTGTTTCATTAGTCTCTGGTGTGAGTTGTTTTCACTCTTTGGCCAATCAGTGCCAAGCTGTGACTCTGGAAAGAGTCACGAGTTTTTATTATTATCTTTCTAGCATTGTATAAGTATCCTTCCTGTATTCTTTAGTATAGTATAGCATTCTTTAATATAATACCATAAAATAATAAATTAGCCTTCTGAGAACATGGAGTCAGATTCATCATTCCTTCCTTCATCAGGGCACCTTGCAAATACAATAAACTCTGCTGCCCATGTGGTTCAGTGAGCTGAGCTGGTGTTCCAGCCTCATATCTGCTGCCTTCTCTGCTGATCAGAGCCAAAAAGGGGCCCAGTAAGTGGGGCCAGCTGTGCTGAGCACCTGTGCTCTGGGACAGAACATCTGCATGGCACATCTGTATTGACAGGGCACTTTGAACAGTGCTGTGGATCAGGCAGATGGAAACTGAGAGGGCTTTTACCTGCCTTCAAACCAGACTGCTCACATGTGTAATTAGTGCTGGCAACACTGTAAAACCTGTGAGCAAACCAAACCTTAATCACTTCTCTATTTCTGGGTGAAAAGTTCCCTAGAAATATGACTAAAGGAGCGTCCACTTTGTGCCTTTTTCTAAAATAAGCTACTTCTCCAATTCCTGCATCTTGATCTTAACAGCATTTATAACAAACCCACAGAGGAGTCACAGCTCCATGAGCAGACACCTGCCTGTGTCCCCCCCACTGTGAGCTCTGGTATAACTAAGAGTCACAGGGATTTAAAAGAAGAAAAGAAATAAAGAAGAATAAAAAAGGGATGAAAGAAAAATAGAATCTGCTGAGAAGGAGAAACACCTTCATCCTTGAGCAACTTCTCCAGATATGCCTTGTCAGCATAAAGCTGCCCCAGAAGCTGTTGCTCTGTTTTTGGACTCTGCTTCTTCGTCTGTTTTTGATCCTTTTGGTCCTTTGGTTTGTTTTGCTGTTTTTGCTTGTTACTTTTGCTCTGGAGCTAGAAAAAAAAACAAAAGGAGGTGGGGGACATCAGTGGGGAACACTGGAATGAGCAGAATTCTGTTTATACTCCATATAACACAACTTATTTTTTAAATAAAAGCAAAAAGTGTCTCACCAGCTTTGGCCATGAGCAACTGAAATTCTGCAGCCAACTGTGCTCCCTGGGGACCACAAGGGTGTTACAGAAAGGGTAAGAACTAGTTCTGGCCTCTCAGAGGAGCAACACTACTGCAATGGAGCACCCAAAAGTGAAGCAATAAAGAAAGTGTCCATTATCAAAGCTGTGACCCTTAAACATCAGGTAAACCCAAAGTTAATATTGGAGCTCACTGTGCCCTCTTTGACCCCTGGGCTGTTACTCATTAGATGGTGGCTGGCAACACCCCCAGACATGGGCTGGAGGAGAAATTCCAGGTTTTGTTCCTGCATGGAGGCTCTTCCTGCCCTTCTGCCTTCCCCTTTAAATTCTGGGTGGCTTGAGCCAGACCTGCATTAGAAGCAGGTGACAAACACCCTCATGACAGGCCAGTGTGTTTTAATGCTCCAGAGGCCCTTCAGCAGGCCCACTGCTGCCACAGCCACATCCCTGAGGGGACTGTCACTCCTCTGGTGCCCATTTCAGCATTACAGCAACTCCAGAAGCTTCTCCAGCCAGAGCCCTGTGCTGTACCTCTGCCTGCCTGCTCACAAAGCACAGCTCCTCCTTGGTCTCCAGCTTCACCGAGGATGGATCTGCAGACACAGAGGATCTGTGTTAGTGCTGCACAGCAGCCATGCAGGCTGCTGTCAGTGAAATTCCCATAAAGGTGCCAAGCCCAAAATGTTCTGTTTCAACCACTTTCCTCATCCTTTCCCATGGAATAGGGGGTGTTGGTGTGTTCTGGGAGCAGGGAATGCCACCAGCTCCTCTTGGGATTTCAATTCATACAGCACCAGGGGTGAATATTGCATTCACTGTTGCAATATTCCTACAGACAGGGCACATCCTGCATGGAAACTGAAGGAGAAGGATGCAGGTTCTTCTGGGGGATCACAGCTGGAACACAAAATGGGTGGAAAGGTATTTTAAAGGTTTGTGCATTGATTAGGGCAAAAGGCCCATTGTGTTTACCACCATCTGTCTGCACCCTGGGAAGGAAGAGTGAGGAACAGCTCTTTGTTTGGTCTGAGGGAAGGACAGAGCTGCCAAGGCTGCTGCAGAATTCCCTTCAGCAGCACAAACACAGGGGGGTCACAGGGGCAGGTGTTCCCATCCACCCAGGGAAGCAGCTTGGGATGTGCCCTGTTAATGTGTGTGCACTTCCCAACTGTTCAAACATCCATGTGTTTCCATGCTTCCCTGCATCTCACAGCTATTGACTGACTGAAAATATTTTTAGTTATATATCAGTTGAATAGCAGTTATATTAGTTTAGTTATGTTTAGGTAAATATCAGTTTTCTATTTTTTAAAATTCATTTTTGTGCCTGCAGCCCAGGGGGTCCAAAGGTGGTTAGAGCTCTTGGCTCAGGACATTGAGCTGGGAAGATTTCAGCTGGAGCTGTGATGATATCTGAGCATTGTGCTAAGCTCAGGAAGCAGCAGGAATGGAGGAGAGCAAGCCAGATCTGGAAACCTTCCCCGTTTTTTTAAACAACTCTCCCACCTGAAAGCGCTGCAGGCTCTGGTGCCACTGGCACCTGTCAAACCCTGGCACTGGGGGAGGGCTGAAGTTTTGAAATTTTGGGAGAGGGTGGCCCTGGCCTACCTGGGAATGTGTGTAGGGTGTGAGTGGGGTGTGCCAGGAGCTGGGCAGGGACAGGCTCCAACCCACCCCACAGGTTTGGCAGCCCCAGAGGAGCCCTGCACACGTGTTGCACTCACATGGCAGAGGTGGCAGCCCCAGGTGAGGTGTGCCTGTGCCCACACTGGGACACGTCCTGTCCCTGCCTGCTGGCAGGGCTGAGAGACAAACTAAGTGAAAAGGGATGAGTTTTCTGTTTGCTTTAAACCCCACGAGGTCCTTGGCCTTTCCTGTCTCTCCAGGACCTGCTCAGTGGTCTGAGCCAGGAATGGTGAAAGCAGAGCTCGTTACAAGAGTCAACAGTTTCACTGCTCTTTTGCAATGAAATTTGGAGGAGAGTCAGGATTTCAGGAGGCCAGTCTGAGGTAGCATGGCACATTGCATTCCAAGCTTTGAATACAGGGATAAAGGTCTCAAAATGGATTCTGTCATTAGGGCTGGAGGTAGATCATAGAATCATGGAATCCCAGAATGGTTTAGATTGCAAGGGACTTCAGAGCTTATTCCACCCCCTGGAATTGCACCTCCCATGGGCAGGGACACCTTCCACTACCCCAGGGTGCTCCAGGCCTCATCCAACCTGGCCTTGGACATTTCCAGGGGTGGGGCAGCCAAAGCTTCTCTGGGCAACCTGTGCCAGGGCCTCCCCACCCTCACAGGGAAGAACTTCTCCCCAAGATCCCAGGCAACCCTGCCCTCTGGCAGTGGGAAGCCATTCCCCCTTGTCCTGGCACTCCAGGCCTTTGTAAAAAGTGTCTCCAACTTCCTTGTCAGCTCCCCTCATGTGGGAGGCCACGAGCAGGTCACGGATTAGACGAGCTGCTCTGGTCTGTATCCTCTGGAAAGTTTCCATGATGATTTTGGAAAATGGAGCATCAGGATTTACCTACAGAACTAAAGGGACCAGGCACTGTGTATGAACAGCATTCAGGGGAGAAAGAAAGAACAAAAGAAAAAAAAAAGGAGCAGGGTTGGCTCTTTGTGCTGCCTCCTGGTGCTTCTGGATTCATCTGCCACAAAGAACAAGAGCCCAGAAGCAGGGAGGCTCTGCTGTGGGGCTCCTGGGTCACTTGCAGAGCTGATTTGCCATCAGCTGTGCCCTGAACAGCCTTGTCCAGGCTCATGGGGGCCAGAAAGTGACACTTACTCCCAATGCAGTTGATAATGGCCTCCTCAGCCTTGTTGATGCCCAGCTGGAACTTGTGCAGGTCAGGGCGGAGCCTTCGGCCTCGGTGGTAAAACACCAGAGCAAACTCAAAGTCCCCCATGGCATACAGGGCCTCTGCTTTCTGGTAAAGCCCCTAAAATGACATTTGGGGGAAGAAATTCATAAAATGAGGGAAATTTTGATGGATCTCAAGTAAATCCTGTCACCAGTGCAAACTCAAAATCCCCCATGGCATACAGGGCCTCTGCTTTCTGGTAAAGCCCCTAAAATGACATTTGGGGGAAGAAATTAATAAAATGAGGGAAATTTTGATGGATCTCAAGTAAATCCTGTCAGGCACGTGTGAGAGCCCAGAGCTGTCACAGTTTGCATACATTAAACCCCAGATGTGGAGGTGCCTGAGCACCCCAACAGCTCTGAGAGCAGCAGAAATCTCAGGAGGGTTTGGAGTTTCCTCACAGCTCTGCCTCAGAGCCTGCAGGGTCTCACAGATCACCCCCCTCCTGCTGGTTACCTCGTAGAACGTATTGTCAATTTCGAGCGAGGCTTCAGCATCCTTCAAGGAGTTTTCTGTGTCTCCAAGCTTCAGAAAACACCTGGAGCGGGTGATAAGGCAGTGCTTGTCTCCTGCTCTCAGCTTCAGCGCCTGGAACCGCGGACATGGACACGTCACCAGTGCTGGCTCAACACCACAAACACACAAGTGTAGCTACGGTATTTTATCAAAAACCCTTTGCTAGGATTTTTCTCCTATTCTAGCTGAGGAGCCTCAGAAAAGAAATGTAAACAATTAACTATCTGCTGCTGTGGAATGCAGCAGGTGCATCTGTGATTGGTGTTTTTAATTAACAGCCAATCACACTCAGCTGGCTCGGACTCTCTGGGAGTCAGGAGCCTTTGTTATTCATTCCATTCTTGTTCTTTCCAGCCTTCTGATAAATCCTTTTCTCTCTATTCTTTTAGTATAGTTTGAATACAGCATTTTAATGTAATATATATCATAATATAATAAATCAGGCTTCTGAAACATGGAGTCAAGGTTCTCGTCCCGGGAGTCCCCGTCGGATCAACACGTGCGGGTGATGCCGCAGTTCCCACGTGGATTTTGATGACGGATGAGGAGAAAACTACAAGGATTTTACTGAACAGTTTCGAAGACACGTCCCTCCGTGTCCTCCCCTCTTGCCGCGGGTCCCCGCCTGAACCGAACCGGGTCCCGCCGCCGCGGCCCCCCCCGAGGCCCCTCCCGCCGTGCGCATCTCGGTGCCCCCGGACCGCGGCGCCCTCACGTCATTGAAGCAGCCCAGAGCCTTGTCGTGCTGGCCGCGCCGGCTCAGGGTTGTCCCCTCGGTCATGAGGCTCCCGAAGGAGACGACGGGCAGGTCATCGTCCGCCATGGCTGCGCCGCGGCGCCGTTGCCAAGCAACGGTTACCGGGTAACGCCCGCTTCCGGTGGGCTGCCCCGCCCCGGAAGTGACGAGGCGCGCCCCGCCGCTGCCCACGTGCGGTGCCGGTGTGCCGGGCGGTCCCGGTTGCGCTCCGGTGCTCGCTGTGCTCTGACCCGGCCCGGCTCCGTGCCCGTGGGGTTCCGCTCTTCCACGCGCGTTCCGCGGCCGGGAGGGGCGGGAGCGCGGCCGGTGCCGCGGCGGCGGCGGCGGAACACCGGGCAGAGCCGGTTCCTCTGCCCCGGCGGGCGCTGGCCCGTGCGTTCCGCAGGGGCAACACGAGGTTACACCGCCCTGCAGCCGGTTATTCGGTACTCGGGAATGCTTTGGGACAGGGAGGCTCGGTGCCCGCCGCTGGCCCCGGTACCGGATTCGCCGCTCGGGGCTGCGATCCTGGCCGGATAAACGGCGAACGCGGCGGGCTCACTCCCATCAGCACTCCAGCCCTGACTTTATTTTGGCGCTGGTCCGGACTCTCCGCCGAGATCTGCGCTTGAAACACTTTGTTCCTGCCAAGTGACTCAGAGCCAGGCCGGGGGAGGCGGGCGGCGCCTGTCCCGCTCGGTACCGGCGACATTTAACGTCACCGCGGGGCGCTGCCCGGGGCTTGGCCCCGGCCCAACGGCGCTGGCCGGCCCCGCTGGGGCGGGAGGCGGGCTGGGGGTCACGCCAGGGTGGGGAGACACTCGGGAGTGGGCGGCCGGGCCGACACGCCCCGTCCCCGGGGAGCCGGGCCGGCGATTTCAGGCAGATGAAGCGCTCGGGAGCTGCTTTGCCGGGAGATTTCCCCCGCTCCACCGGCACCGGCGGGTGTGGAACGCCGTCCCCAGCAACGCTGTGTTCGTGAGGGCTGTGGCAGTGTGTGCCCAGCCCGGTGCTCCCTCAGCCCTTAGTCACGGGGAAAAGCGAGCGTGGGGTGGGGGTTCCCAGGCAGCGGCGGAGCCGTGGGGCTGCCCCGACAGGCTGTGAGCAAGCACGCTCCCGGTGCTGCGGGAGGCACCGGTGACCGGGCTCTGGCAATGCCGCCGCTGCCCCGTGGGTACCGCCGGGCACAGCACGCCCGTGGGAGGTTTCTCGGCACGTCCCGCCGCCGGTACGCTGGCCGGTGGGCCTGTTGACGTCATCGTGGCCGGTGACGTCAACGGCGGCGGGCCCGGCGTGGGGGGTCACGGCCGCGGTCTCCGCCGAGGGCGTGGCGATGGTGCCGGAACTACGACTCCCACAAGGCTACGCGGCCGCACCCCACCGGCGGCGGCCAATGGCTGCGCAGCGGGCGCTCAGGCAACGCGCACGTGGTAGCGGCGTTGGCCAATGAGCGGCGGCGGCGGCCGTAGCCCGATGGGCCGGGGAGGCCGCGCTCCGCGAACAAAAGGCGGCGGCGGCGGCGCGAGCGGGGCCGGAGCGGCAGCGGAGCGGGGCGGGAGCGGGGCCCAGGTGAGTGCCGGGGCGGCTGCAGCGCCGGGGCCTCGCACGGCCTCTCTTGCCGGCGGCGCCCACGCGTCCGGGGCGGGAGCCGCGCTGGTTGTGGCCGGCCGCGGCCCCCATGGCGGGCGAGCGCCGGGAGCGGCCCGCAGCCTGAGGGAGCGCCCGGGCTCGCTCGAGTGGCGGGGGGGCCGGGGACGGGCAGCGGTGCTGATGCTCCCCGCGCGGGTTGCGCCGGCCGGGGCGGTGTGCGGTGGTCCCGGCGCAGGGATTACCGCGGGGATGGCAAAGGCTCCGGCTTTACGCATTTTGTTTCCCCCTGGTCCGAGGGGGCTTTGGCCAAAGCGCTTTCCTCGGTGCTGTGAGGAAAATCCTTTCGTGGCCATGCTGGAGGAGCAGCCCCGTGTCGGGATCGCGCTGTTCCTGTACGAGCGTGCACAGCCCGCGTGTCCCTCCCCTGGGTTCCAGCTGTCCTGTTTGCTGCTTGCAAACACCTCCTGTTTGCCTTGCTCCTTTCGAAATTCTCATCCTGCTCTGCAGACTCTCCCTTCTCTGTGTTGAACAGTTTGTTGTCTGCAGGCTGAAAACTGAGCTGCGCCCTGACTATCCTGTTTTTGGATGTCTGTATTCTTTCTGATCCCTAAGCAGGTTTGGAGCTCGGAGTATCAGCTCTGCGCTCCGGTGCTGCTACCCAAACCCTCTTGGGTGTCCTGTGAGACTCTGCAGCTCTCCCCAGGTATCAGGGCTCTTCCCATGCTTCCAGCACTGCCTGAAGTGGTTCCCAAACAAGGACAGCCACAGTTGGAAGTCCTGCCCAGCCATGGTGGTCAGGGAGCCCTTTACTGCTGTTCACTGTGCATGTGATTTAAGGAATAAGCTTGTTAAGGAGCCCTAAGGGTGCAGAAGAAGATGATCTTTAATGACAGGATCCACAAATTGCCCCCTTGTGGCACTGGGTGCCCACCAGGTCTGTGTTAGCCACATGTAACCAGTCCATGGTCTGTGCTCCTCCCTGGCTGCCGTTTTTCTCTCAGATTGTGTGTGTGCAGGAGCCTCCCCCAGAGCTGGGCATGCAGCACCTGTTTGCATCACCCCACACAGCATTTCCCAACCACAGCTGGGGGACCATGACCTCATGTTGGCTGCAGCTCTGAGCCCTCACCATCCTCTGATGAAACACACGGGTCTGCCAGGTGGGAGCTGATGTAATTTTTCATGCTGCCATGGGCTGAAAATACTGGCTTGGCTTGAACTGTGTTAATAAATTACCCAGAAAGGAGGGGAGGGGCTGCTTTATGGTGTGGGTTTGTTGACACAGTTCTGGGGAGAGTGGGTGTCAAGCCTTCCCTGGAGAAGGAGTCCTTTCCTCCTGGTCTGAAGTGTTGTTCTGGTGCAACTGGAGCACAGTACCAATCTGGATCTCAGAGAATTCCATGAGCACCACATTCTGTGTGAACACAGACTGGTGGAGCTGAGTTACACCTCTTCTTCTGGTTAGAAGAAAAACAAACAAAATCAATGTCTGTAATACTTTTTCTCCCCTCGCAGAGCAGACCGTGTCACACTGAGCAGTGCCACATCCCTGATCTGTTGGGAGTCAGGGAGACTCCACCTGAGTTCTGTGACAGGAATGCCTCCCTGTTTCTCCATCTGTGTTTCCTTTGGATTTTTTGGGTGCACCCTTCAGCTGGTTGCTGATATATTGGAGCAGATATATCAGTTGTTCCACAGCAAACACAACATCCAGCTCGAGGGCTCTTGCCTGCCTTGCCACCATCCTCCTGATTTTCTTTGTCAATACACTCAGGAAACTTTCCCCAAGCATCAACTTATTTGCATCTATTTGGCAGGTGATGTTTTGAGGGAATAAGTGCTGCTGAGCCCCTGAAAATGTGATCTAATCCGTGTCACTTACTTGCTAGCAAAAGCTGGAATTCAGCTCTTTTTGGATCAGTGAGTATGGATGATGAGAGAAACGTCTCTGAGGTGTTGCAGGGAAGCTGTTGGTGTTGGAGCCTCATTAAATGAATACAAATAATTCATGGAAATCTGTGGCACTTGTCCTGCTGACATGAATCTGCCCCTGTGTGTGGTGGGTGCAAGGTCTGGGGCTTGAAATGCTGCGAAAATTGCAGATCAGTCTTGGCTAATGCGTGCTGAACAGAGCAGTGGAAGAGAACGTTGTTATCCCTCCCACAGCTTGTTCTGGGCAGAGAAAAGGACATTTTCCCTGAGTTTACCTTCAGAGGTGCAGCCTGTGCTCTCCCCAGCACTGCAGGTGCTAACACGACTGAAAATAAGATTAATTCTGACAGGTGAGAGTTTGAACCTGTCTCATTCCTGGGAAACTGAGGAGATTCAGTTCCTCTGCCTCTGTAGTGACCCTGCTTGGTGTTAGCAGAGCAGATGCAGTGAGTTAATGGACCTGCACGAGCACACACAGCCAGGAATTGCTGATGCCCTATGGATTATTTTCCTGCTGATCTCTTAGCTTAGCAGTTCAGCAGACTGAAGCAATTGCTTTGTACTCCCTGTCCCACGAGAAAGGCAGGGTTAGAACAGTGGAAAAACTGAGTGAGGGGTGTGATTAAAGACTTGCTAATGTTTAGGAGATGTGAAACTCTGGCAGATAAGGTCAGAACAGCCTCATTCCTGCTGTTCTGTTGCCATGACACGAGGGTGTTATTTTTCATCTACTGCTATTGTAAGAATTCTGTAGTTTCCTTTCTTTCCCCCAGTAGTGTTACTGCAAAAATGAGGTGATGAAGTTGTGAGGGAAACCAAAGGAGCAGCAGAATGGAGCAACATAAAAAAAGACCAGAAATGGTTCTGGAAAGGGAACAGCTCTGCTTTGTGACCCTCAGGTTTAAGGAATCCCATGCATATCACTTGTTCCCACTGAGGTTTTTTTACAGGACTGTTCTTAATAAGACCTGAGGGACAGCCTAGCTCCAGTGTCCTGCAATTGCAGGGTATTCATTGGCATAGCCAGCATCAGCCTGAGTGGTTTAATTTGTAATTGTGGACTGAAGTTCTGCAGGGCTGTTCAGAGACTCTGTGACGCCCTGGAGTAATGACAAATACTTAGGTTTCTTAAAGAAATATGTTTGCCATTTTCTTTTAGCCATCTGCTTCTGCTGCAGTGAGATGTGACGCTGTTTCTGTGGGACAGGCCCTGAGCAGATTGTGGAATTGATGGATTTTGAAGGGGTTTGAAGCAGGAATATTGCAGCTCCCTCTCAGGCAGAACAAATGGTGCCTGCAGGTATTATGGGAGCAGGTTTGCTCTCAGAAATAGCTCTGCCTAAAGTACAAATTCCAGTGGAAAGTTTTGGGCTCTGCAGTACAGATGAGGTGTGTGTGTGCTGTGGGACCGTGTCTGTGTGTGCCTGCAGGATTGGTTTGGGGTTTGGTGTCCTCTGGCTGCTCACAAGAGCTCCTCTCTTGTCAGGCCACCTTGGGGCTAATAAACTACCAGAGCTGTTTCAGTAGGCAGCTGGGGCAGGTGTTTCTAGTGGCAGGAGTGGGGGTTGAGTCTGATGAAAGATGGGGTGCTGCAGAAACATTGCCCGATGCTGTTTTGAAATGGGATTAAATTGGAAGCTGTGCTGCAATCCTGTTCGGGTTTTACATCAGAACTCTTTGAAAGTGGGACTGCACTTTTGTCTTTTGCCTTTGCTGTAGCTTTGTGATTTTTAACCCTGGAATTGCATTTGAAAAGATGGCACTGGCAAAGTTGACTGCTGGTCCTTAAGCACAGTTATCAGCTTCCAGTAATAGCACTTAGTCTGACCTGGTTGGTTTTGGAAGCTCAGGGAATGCAATCTGCCTTCTACTATGGAGTAGGAGTTGGGATGGACCCACCTCCTCCTTTCTGCTCTAGGGAGAAAAGTTCTTTATTTTAATTATGGCTAGTTAATCGCTGCCTGTTCTGTGTTTGCTTATAGGATGAATAGCCCAGCTGATTACTAATGGTTGTTGCCCAGAGGGCAGCACAAGAAATAACTGGAGTTTGTTAACTGTTTCCCTCTGCAGTGGGGTATGTGTTTTGTGAGGGCAGGTAGTCTCACTGAGCAGTTCTAGTACTTGGCTGTCCAGGTGCTCAGGTGGAATCTGAATTCCTCTTTTTTGTGTTGGTGCACCTCTGCTTTGCAGCTCTCCCAGAATCCATCCCAAGGGTGCTTTTGCTTCCTGCCACACTGGCAGTGCTTGGGAGACAGTGACGTGACCCCAGTCACTCAAAATGCAGGAGGAGCTGCTGCTTGAGCCTCCCTGTCAGCAGTCTGACCCCCAGACACAGCAAACCTGCTGGCTGGTCACAGCACTCGGCTCTGGTGTGTGACACATGCAGACAGGGTCACTGGGATGAAGTATTCTTTTAAATAAGTGTTTATGGCAGCTAAAAATAAATGGATCTTTGACACCTTACCAAAAAGAATAGTTGCACTCTTGAGGCCAGAAATCATTTGCTTACATCAGTTTGGAAGATACTCGAAAAGAGAAGAAAACCATCCATAGGAAAGGGACTGAATTTGAAATTTTTCTTAAAAAGAACAACCCCAAAACCAAAACAAACTGTCTAAACTTCATCTTTGTTGTTGTCTTGAGCATCTTATTCTCTCAGATGTAAAGCTCTTTCCAAGAAATCTGGTTCTGAAACAAGAAAAAAACAGTGATGTAAACCTATTCTAGTTTTGGTAATCCTGGCAGTGTTTTCTTTTCCCTTTAGAAAAGGGA